CTATCATGAAGCAGGCTCTCTGAATTACTATTGATTTTACCTGATGATTCTTTGGTATTCTGCAATGCTGAGGGATCAGAAAACACTCCTCCATCTTTATAGGTCACTTTTTGACACTCATTTTGGCTTCTGTCTTTAGAATCTTTCATTGAAAGTGCGTGACCTCCTGGGCATTGGCTTAATTTTCATAGCAGCTGTTTGAGTCTCCACTTGAGCAAGAGCTTTATCATAATCAAACACACTTCCATCAGTACTAGAACTATTGAAGTTAAAATCAACACTCTTAGACCGGGACATAACCTTAGAGTTTCTACGAATCGGTGATTTCTCAGATCCTTCAGTCACCTCATAACTTACTGATCCAATAGTTGGTGCTCTGGCACTGGACTTTGAATGACCTTCGTGATCAAAACTAGATAACTTCTTTGCTCGTGGGGGTTTTTCTGGAGGTCGATTTTCACTCAGTTTCTGCTGATCTTTTGTTGTAGTTTTGTCACGATTTTTAGTATCCTGATTGGTGGAGAGTACGGGATTGGCTAAATCCTTGCTAGAAGTGGCAAGATGGTGGGCACCTGATGCCTTGTCATGTTGGCTGAGACCGAACAGTTCTGCTCTCCATGTCAGGACAGCAGTGACAACTTTCAGAGGCAGACGTGTGCTTGTTAGAACCCGCTGTAACAGCTGCAGTCTGAAACAATCCAAATTAAGTTGTGTTCACATTGAACTAAAATGTGACATAGAACCTGTTCTGCTGTATGGTAGTGAATCTTGGAATGTCAGTGAACAAATTAAGAAGAATTTGGAAACAACAGAAATGTAGTTTCTGAGATGAATGTTACGAATACCTTGGATGGCCAGAGTAACTAACAATGATTGCTTGAAAGAAGCTAATGAAAGTAGATCTCTATATACAACAATAAGAAAGAGACAAACACTGTTCTTTGACTACATAATGAGAAGAGAGACATTGGAGAACATTGTCACAACTGGAAAGATCAGTGGAAAAGGGGGTAGAGGCAGACCAAGTGGGATTATGCTGGATGGGCTGAAACAATAGAATGGAGAAATATCATCAAGAGAGCTGTTCCAGGCAACCCGGGATCGTGATCTGTGGAGATACATGAGCTCCTACGACAGTTGGCAGGGCACATGATGATGATGATGATGCTGATGTTCATACTGGAGCATTAATAATAAAATAAGAGACAGATATGTTAAATAATAATTATACAAACAATGATCTAATCTCACTAGGTGAAACCCCACTCTAAGATATGCAGTCATACACTTTTTGGGCAGTAATGTAAACAAAGACTGGGGAAGGGGAGAGGGGTCAGAGATACAAAAATATGAATACAGAAGGCAAGAATTCTGTAGGATATCTGTGAAATTCAATGAAATTAACTAGTATTAAACAAAATATATATCTCTCTTATCTATTGCTCTATGCCAGCGGTTCTCAACCTATGGGTGTGACACCTTTCTTTTTGTCAAACGATACTTTCACAGAGGTAGCTAAAGACCATCATAAAACAAATTTTTATTGAAGTTATGAAGTAGCTACAAAAATAATTGTGTGGTTGGGGGTCGCCACAAAATGAGGAAACAGGTAAACAACTGAAACGGTTACTAATAAACTACAGGCACTCATTAACTATTTTCTAGACTGAACAAAAAAAGAATTTACCCAACCAAGCAGTCAACCAAGTGCTTAATCAACCAACCACTAAACTCAACCACCTCATCAGTTAACAAACTGCTTAACCAACCAGTTACTTGACCAACAAACTTACCATTCAAAATTCAAACCATTCATCCAACCAACTATTCAAACACCTAAAAACTGACCCATTTAACTAATCCCTTCTTTTTCTGCCTTTCTATCCCCCAATGGAGCATAGGCCCTCAATCAATTCATGCCAAGTCGTTCTATCTTTTGCCATTACATGAAGCTTTCCCCATGTCCTCCCCATCTTTCAAACTTCATTCTCTAGCTCTCTGCTCAATGTGTTTTTTGGCCTTCCTGTGGGTTCCAATGCAAAGACATTCTAGTTATGATGCTGTTCTCCTGTTTTCTCAGTGTGTGTGCTATCCAACACCATTGTCTTTTCCTCACCTCTATTTAACTAATAACTCAACTAAATAACCACTAAACAAACAACCAAAAAAGTAACCACTCAACCAATCACTCACCCAACAAACCAATAACTCAACTAAATTACCATTCAGCAAACAACCAACTAACTCAGCAATCTGCATGCTAACAAACTAACCAATCAACCAAACAATCATTCATCTAACAACCGACAAACTAACTACTCAAGCAGGTAACCACTTAACCAAGAAACTACTCAACCAACCAACTAACAAACTAACCACTAAACTTAACAACCACCTAACCAACCTTAAAGCAAGCGACCGAGCCTGGGATCGCATTTTCCGATCGACATGCTGTGGGATACTTTCGTCTATCCTGTCAATGTGTTCTTGCCTTGGAGGAGGATGTCTGGATAAGAAGACGCGTACAGCTCCCAGCCATTCTGTGTGGGAGTACATTGAAACAGACAAGATTACTAACTGCAGTTAGGTTAGTTAGTTGCGTATCCTTTACATGACGTTGCAGAACAAACCCCAAAAGCCCATGGCTTAAATTGAATAGATACACAGAAAATTATCACTGAGAAGAAAATGAAAGTGCATTTACCTGTGGGCATGTAGACCAAACATTCTCTAGTCCGACGTGAGGCATCCTGTGACACATCAGGCATGGAATGACTGAACTCTGTAGAACATCTCTGCAGTAAAGATTCCGGAATAAATTTCAGAACCTTTTTGTACCAGATAAGTGCCTGATGAATGTAAACATAAGACAACTTCTTTGGCTTGGTGGTTGGTTTTGACTGTTTCATATAAAAGACTGAATTTTAAACCATGGAAACCCTTGGAGGGGAAAGGGATCAGAATCTTCCCTTTCCCTACCCCTTCACCCACACTCACTCAATCCTCCTTAAAAAAAAGCAAAAAATTTTACACAGGTAACTAATGAATTTGTATTTATATAAATTACATTTTTAAAATTTTTGTTTCTAGAGCAGAATGAAATGAACAGAAGAGCAGAAGAATGAAATGGTTTGGTCACCTAATGAGAATGGAACCAACGATGCCAGCATCAAGAGCATACAACATGAAAATCGAAACACCAAGAGGCAGGGGAAGACCAAGAAGAAGGTGGATTGAAGGAGTAACAGACAACTTGAGACTTCATAACATCACGGCATATGAAGCGACTGAGCGCGCCCTGGCTCGGTTGCCGATCATCTGATAGACTGCGACGCCTAGCGGCACAAGCAGATTTTGACAAAAGAAGAAGACATTTAAAAAAAAAATACAGATCAAGGGGAGACATCAATATAATCATGGGTATCAGAGCTGCAACCAATCTTTCTTGAGACATTTTTTGTTTTGTTTTTTTGGCCTAAACAAAAATATTCATGATAACAATGACCCTTCTTGCTACGTGACCTTTAAAGGAAAATTATGATATATTGACTAAAGGGCTATTTTTCACAAATAAACTCCTCTAAGTTATATTTTAAGTAAATATAATCATATCCTGATCTCCGAAAGACTGTTAAAGTGCAAAGAGAATCAATATCATAAACCAGGCTTGCCTGGGACTGACCAAGGCCAATCCAGCACAGCCAATACATTGGGAGGGAGAACAGAAAAAAATCTGTTAAGCAAAATGCAAGGAAAAGAGAGGAAAAGATGCTAGCACTGAATAAGACACACTTGTAATAAACCTAATGACCCTTGGTGGAGGAATTACTTATCCTGTCACTCATTTTGGAGGGAAAAGAACAGACCTCCCTCCCTAAACATTTTCCACACACAAACATGTGCGCTAGCGCATGCATGCGCACATGCACATGTGCGCATACAATCATGCACACACACACACACACACAGCATAAATGTTGCAAATGATGACTAATAGGGGGTATATTCTTCAACATCAGAGTGCATGTGCCAGAAGTGAGAAACCAACAGTCTGCATACAAATAATCAAGATTTGTAAAACAGATATGCAAGCAAAGGGCAAGTTCTGGAACAAGACCCAAATTTAGAAGTTAATGATTAACCAGAACTTTCTGCTGGAATTTATAGCCAGGGAATAAGATGAAGACGATCTTTCATGGGATATCCCAGTACTTATTCTAGGCTCGGTTAACCTGTGAGTTCATGTCATTTTATAAGAGATTGTCTTAATGGAATTTAATAACAGTATGCAAAACACAGAAGAGTTAAATGGTATGGTAGGAGCACTAATGTGGAGCTTAGTAGAGAACTAAATGAATTCCAGAGAGTCCTGAGGTGAAGAAAAGCATCTGATATTGGATAGGATACATGCTGAAAAAACCTGAGAACAAAAAACTAGAAGGACTTTATACTGGAACCCACAAGGGCGTTAAAAAAGGGCAGACCAAACAACACATAAAGAAGGGCTGATGACATGGGGAAAGCTGCATGCACTTGGAAAGGATAGAATGACATGGCATGAGCTGGTTGAGAGCCTGTGTGCTATCGAGTTATAAAAGACAGAAGAAGAAAAAGAAAAACAAGAAGAATAAGAAGGAGGTGGAGGAAGAGAAGAAGAAGATGCCAACACAAAAGAAATAGCAAAAGTTAAATAAAATGGGTGCTGTATAGGTTAACTGACATTCGTTCGAATTCTGAGTGCATCTACCTGAGAAGTGAGAAATGAACAGTCTAAACTGAAATTAGCCAGATCTGTAGAATGGATGTGCATGCAGACACTTCTAGAATAGTACCTAAGTCCAGAAGTGAAAAAATAACTATAACTTTTCACTGAAGTTTACAGGTGGTGAATAGGATGAAGAAAAAGAAATAACAGTATGCCAGACACAAAATAATAACAAAAAAGGGGACCAAAAATTGCTGCTGAATAATATCTAAATAAACAACTGCAAAAGCCAAACCTTCTCAAAGAGCAGATGGAAGATGTGTACGCTGACATACAGCTGCTGGAGCTGCTGCAGCTGGGTGGCGAAAGGTTGAATGCTGGTGGTCAGACACCGACTGATGTCCGAGATGTCCTGGTCACTTAACACACCACCATTGTGTGTCCCTGTGCTGCCCCGTCTGCAGAAGTTGGATGCAGGCTGAGAGGCAACATCAGTTTTTAGTCTCTGGACGGCTGCCAAGATTTCTGTGGCCTGGCTTAGAAGTTCCTGGTCAGAAAGAATAAATTAACAATATAATTCTCTGCCTAAAGCATGTGTTGAAGTGTTACGTTAAACAAGTGCTACTATGTGCCTGTGAATCTTGGAATATGAATGATAAATTATGAAGAACTTGGAAGGCTGTGGAGATGTGGTTTTCTAAGACACATGCTGTGGATATCCTGAACAGCCAAAGTAACTAACAATGACTTTCTGGAAATGAAATGAAATTAGAAAACTTTACACAACTACAAGAAAGAGGCAATCAATGTTCTTCAGTCATGTGATGAGAAGAGAGGCATTGGAGAACATGGAGATGACTGAAATTTCAGCGGTAAAAAAGGCAGAAGTATACCAAGAGAGAGACAATAATCGACAGCCTGCCATAAGAGGTCACAAAGGAGGGTTTGTGTTAGAGTGATTTACCTTACCATGTTAACAAAAATAAGGACACTTTTCAAACTATTATTGCAAAGGAAATACAGTATTGGTAGATCCATATTGTTTTGTATAAACCAGTCAACATGGTATGTATGATGTGTTAACATCCCATTAGCCAACTTTACTTCCCAATACAATTCCTTTTACTGATTTTAGACTGGGTGAACTGTGAGCACTAGGTTAATTACAAACATTCACACAATAAGGTTTCCACATGTCAGCCAGTAGTAAACTTGAATTGAAAAATTCAACCAATCTCCATTTATTCATGCATCTGAGTGACATAAATGTGCTGTGCCTGTTTACAGCAAAGTTGCGATATTTGCATCTTTTGGCTAATACATCCTACTTCATCACTGGCATGTTGTGGTTTATAGATAGACTGTGATATCTGCTCTTTTTAGCCCAGTACATCAGATTTCAACAACTGCTCCCCTTTTACAACACGTTTTCAAAGGGTCAGTGGGTCCATTCATCCCCCCACCCCCCACAAGTCCCATAATCTATATGGGGAAATTACTAATCAAAAGATAATAGGTATGTCTTTGGTACCTAACCTACTGCATTGCATCATCAGTGGTCTACCTGTAATTAGTACAAATATGTCCCTTAGGATCAACCTCTTCGCTCAAGCTTTAATTTCAAATCTATCAATTATAATCACGCTACTCCACCTAGCGCAGATGGTCTGTGAAAATATAGGCGCTCTTCCCATATACCTCATACACCTAAAGGAGTAAATACGGATCTTTACTTTTATTTAAATTATAATCAGTACTTTAAACTATTTTACTCTTGTAACTCTAATAAACTCTGGGGCAACTCAGTATTATCCATTTCATGTCAGTAAAAGTAAAATAAAGGGCCCTTTCCCACATCTTCAGGCATATTGGGTATATAGGGCTAGACCTATATTTTATAGACCAAACAGGACGTGGTGGGTGATGCAGTCAACATCACGCTGGCTGGCTTTATTTACCAGGACTGCACCTGGTACCTAGTCAAGGCTGGATTGACCTGGGAGTCAAGGTCATTTTTGGAGGGGAAAAAAGTCTGTTTTTTTTTGTCAGGATGTGAACCCATGACCTTCCACGTCTAGCCAGCTACACCACAGTAGCTCTTCTCATTTCATGTAAAAGTGAAAAAACTAAAGGACCCTTTTCCACACCTTTAGGCATATAGGGCATATAGGGCTAGACCTATATTTTTATAGACCAATCGGCACAAGATGGGTGATGTGGTCAGCATCACACCGGCCGCCTTTACTTCCCGGGTCATTTTTGAAAATAGTCTGGCTCCGCCAGGGAGCGAACCCATGACCTTCCGATCCACGGCGAGCGTCTAGCCACTCGGCCACGGCGACTCCCTCTCATTTCCTGTAGCAGTAAATAATTACAGTAAAACCTCACTAACATGAACTATTTTAAGAAGAACACTTGGTTAATATGAACAAAATAGTAGTCCCTGTAGGGATTTATTAATCTGAGTCCCCACTTACCAGGAACTGTTTTTAACATTTCAACACACTCTTGATTTGTTTTTGGTCCTTTAGAAATATATGTTAATAAGGTTTTACAATATTTTTTGTTTGTTTTTGTTTACCTTGGCTGGGTCATACAGTGTAGTAGTGAAGTGGGCACGGTAGAGTTCAGCCTGGCTTAATGTCTTTCCCACAATCGGGTGCTCTCGCAGGAGTGGATGGAAAAGCTTGCAGATCTTGCGTTCAATCTTTTGAGAAAAACATACTGTAAAATGTACTGCAGGGAAATCCAGGAAGTCAAAAAGAGGTTTGAGCAATAGATCAACATCATGGCACAGGGGTTGTAACCTATAAGTGCTCTGTTCACTTCTAACTCAAGTCTGTCGGAAGAAGCTCAGCACATTGCACAGGCTCTGTAGCACCGGCGAGGTTCCTAAAATATTTTTTGAAGATTTTTAACTCAAAATTTTGCCCAAACGCAGTTAGGCTACTCTTTTAGATTTCCAACTGCCAAAGGATTTTTTATGTGCGCAACAATACATACGAGTGTCTGATCTCACTACCCATAGACCAGGGGAAATTATTAGAAGTCCACGTGAACAGAAAAAACCCCAGCCTTCACATGGGCTTGAACTCGGCACCTTTAGCACTCTAGGTGGACAACATACTTCGAGACCACACAGCCCCCTAATTAATTAGGTAAAAATAAAAATACAGAACATCCAAAAGAAGCAGTTATCCATTTAATTTATTTTGGCCACATCTTAAAATTAGAAAAAAAAATTGAATATTTTGTGACAACTGGAAAAATATTAATGGAGGTAATGAGACTGGAAAATAATGAGATAAACTTGTTGATGACCTTCTGTTATAGCATGGAAAGGTGTCGGCACAAGAAATGACACTTGCTATTAGAGATCACAAGATGTGCAGAAGCCAGTCATGCCCAGAGGATATAAATTAAAGTATAACTACATTAAAACTGGTCTTATGCAGCAAGCAAGAATGCTTATTCGTACCTCAAAGTATATACCTGAGGAAAATTAATATAAAATGGGAGGAAAACAAGAGGAATGGAAAAAAGAGAAATGTCTGGGCAACTACTAGCATCAACAGTTATGTCATATAAAATGCTGTTATACTGAACAGATTCTGAAAAGAGAATCCCCAACACTAGTATCAACAGTTGCAAGTCAGATAAAATTGTTTTTTACTGAACAGATTCTGAGAAAAGATTAAAACAGAATCCCCAACTATAGTATCAAGAGTTATGTCATATAAAATGGCGCTAAAGTGAACACATTCTGAGAAGAGATGAAAAGCAAATCACTAAAAAGGCACTGAAATGGGAAATAGATGGACAGAGGAATCGAGGATGTCCAAACTCTACAGCGAACGTTGATAAGAGAGGCCAAAGCTGCTGGACTGTATTCCATCCTTCATATTGAACTGATTGCACAGGATAGAATAGAATGGAGGAACAAACAAACCAACAAACTTTATTTTCAAAGGGTCACAAATTGGGCACACAGGCCCGTCTTACATTCGGCCCTTCCAAACACCCGTCTTTCACACTGCCACTGTATTTTATCAATAAGCATCTTATATTCATATGATAATATGCATGTTATGAATATCAAAAAAAGAAATAAAGAAACACAGAAGCATTGGGGTAAAATGCAGGCATGCACATGCACGTGCGCATGCACACACACGCACACACGCATGCATGCACACACGCACAAACACACACACACCTTCACACACACAGAAGAGCCCTATATGAAATACAATGGCACAACACAACAGTGAATGAATAAATGAATATAAAGTATATGTCAGCATGTGTAACTTAGGCATTGTGAACATACTTCATAATTCAAGTGTGCTTTGTTCCATCCCAGCTGCAGGTGATTTGACAGCAGGCTATTGTGCATTAGTTTTCACAGTGGCACTGAGAGCCGACCATTTAGAGGCAATGGCAAACAGGGCTAGCCCTATATTTTTTATACCAATCGGCACTCGGTGGGTGATATGGTCAACATCATGCCAGCTGCCTTTACTTCCCAGGACTACATCTGGTACCCACTCAAGGCTGGAGTCAAGGTCATTTTTTTAAAAGTCAGGTTCCATTAGGATCCGAACCCATGACCTTCTGATCTGCAGGTGAACATCTAGCCACTACACCACATTGGCTCAAATATATATATATATATATATTTATAAATATATATAATATATATATATATATATATATATATATATATATATATATATATATATATATATATATATTATATATTTTTATATATATATATATTATTTTTTTTTATAAATATATATAAAGGATACTTAAGGAAACCAGGTAAAACACTGCTGACATACCTCTTGGGCCCTTTCCTTGTGACGGTAAAACTGTATCAGGACTGTGAGCCTATTTTCGGTGACTCTCCAAGCATCTTCTAATTCTGTGCTCCATTGGTCAAGCTCTGTATATGTGTTACGTAGGTGTAACCTTAGTCCACTGACCAGCTCAGGATGAACAAGAGACAGGTGGGTGTCTGATGATGGGTGGTCTAGTAGAAAGAGGGTCTGCTTACACTGTGTTAGGTACAGAGGTAGTGAAGATTCTCTGAAATAAAACAAATATTATTGAAACATATTATTAGGCTTAGGCGTTGTGAGTCCGACTCGTAATTCCAATGTACTGTGATCGAAACCCACTGCTGGCTGCATGGATTTTTATCATGGTATGGAGCATTGCAGGTCAACCCAGCCTAAAATGGGTACCAGGATGGGTGTCGTGGGAAAGTAAAGAAGGCCAGCGTAATGCTGACCACATTCCCCACCTAGTGCCGATTGGTTTGTAAAAATATGGGAGCTCTTCAAATATGCCCGATGCGTCTAAATGCATGTAAAGGGATCTTTACTGCTTTACTTTTACTGTGTTATTATGTATCCTTTTCAGTTATTTGATATGGCTCTGAAACTTGGAGCACAACTAAAAGAGATGCAGGAAGAGAATTCTGAGTGTGTGTAAATCCAGGGAGAAAGATAGAGCATCCTGGAGATTGACTGCAACCAGCCTTCACTGTGGAGATGGCACCTGATTGACTGACTGAATAATTAAGTAGTTTGAATCAATTTACATATTGTAATTCTTCATTATCTCAACATGTAAATGAATAAATCAAAAATGTATGTCACTGTACTCGGAACATTCCCAAGCTTACTCCATCTCCTTCCTTAGTAGCCAGTTAAAAGATGACATGCTAATAGTACCTACTGCAACTTGATTAAAAACCCACCTATGTCTTCCCCTGAGTGTTAAATATCTTCCAGAACCTCTACTCTTCCCTGTTGAATTAATCTTTTCCCCGTCTGGGTTCTGAGGCCCTGTTATAGGAAAAACAAGAATAGACCCACTGCCTAAACAAAAGCATGTCGTAAGAGATGATTAATTGGGAGCTTCCTTCAAAGTCGGAGTGTATCTGCCTGAGAGGCAAGGAAACAGCAGTCTGCAAAACAAATTAGTCAGATCTGTAAAACTGATGCACACGCACTCAGGTTCAGGAACAGCACAGGAGACCAGAAGTGGATGAACAACCAGAACTTTCCGCCAGAGTTTACAGCTGGTGAACACGAAGAAGAAGAAGAAGAAGTAGAAGAATTAATCTTTTAGTACATGCATTCCCTGTCTGTTCTATTGCACTATGCATTTGATCCCAGAGAGTTTTCACCAAGTTAACATATAAACAGTGTGAAACAAGAGAAGTTAATAGCAAAACTGACCCTTGAATAAAACATTACCTGACTCGGGAGAAGGAACTAAACTTACGATAGAATCATGTGGAACCTTTCTATCAGGTCAGCCAAGAGTTGCTGGACCTGGCTGGAGGACAGTCCTTCAGTCTCATATTCTTGCAGGAGATCAACCTTGTCTCGGACACTAGGCAGTTTTGTCAACAGGTCTCGACAAGCTTCAACACACTTGATAACAACCTGTACACAAATGAAACATATAAATAAATGTATGCACAGATATAAACAAGCTTGTGATTGCCTGTTTGATAGGGGTCTCAGTTCAATCCCAGAAATGGCCAGATTTTTTTGGACCAGCAACAACAAAATTCATAATCAGTTTTAATCACCACTGATCAATGGTATCATGAAGGCTTTATCTTCTTCTTCTTCTCTTCTCCCTTGTACCTCAGTGAAGTGTCATGGGGGAAGGGGGGGGTGCAGCAGGGAGGGGAGATATAACGTTCATTACTATTGAGATTGGCTTTATTCCTAGCATTCGTCTGATTTCGTGATTTCATATTCTATCTTTCCTTGAAAATCCTGCAGCTCTTCTAAGGCATTTCATCTCCATTGTCCCAATTTTATGTTCAGTAGAGGATGTGAGTGTTCACATTTGGCAGTGATAGCATAAAAAAATAGTTCTGATAAGATTCTCTTTTAGTTCTCCGGGGTATCTGCCTGTGTGTCAACAGGGAAGATAGTGACCAGTACTTGATTAGCTTTGGCATATCCTGAGCTAATTTCTCTGTCCAGTTTTCCATCGGATGTGAAAATTGCTCCCAAATACTTGAATTTCTTTGTCTTGAGGCTTTGTTTTTCAATTTTATTTCTGAATTGTCTTTATCTTATCATTAAGGTTAAGAGACTGAAATGGCCGGGGCACATAGAAAGAATGTCAGATGACAGAGAAGAAGAAACCATGTACACAAAAGTATTGATTGGGAGTAGACCATGAGGCAGACCAAGAAGACGATAGACAGATAACATCCAAGCAGACCTACAAACACTTGGAGTCTTTTTTTCTTATTCTCCACTTCCTCTTTTTTACTGCTTCAGGTGTCGAGGGAGATAAAATATTCTACTTCTTGCTCTTCTGGGCCACCTCATCTTGTTCTTGGTATTGCTGTGCTAACCATCTTTCTGCTCTTTTGGTCTTTGCTTTGTATGGTATGTCATCACAGGGCATTCTCTTTAAGTGGGCAAACCATTTGATTTGCTATAATTTAGAACTTATTCTATGCTGACTTTTTCTCTTATGACACTTCCTTCTTGATTTGATCTCTTCAAGTGACTCTTGCAGCCCTCCTCAGATATCCCACTTTCAGTTAATGTTGTTACCAGATATTTAAACTGAGATGGCTACTTAATGCTTTGCACTTTACGGTGCTTTATTAATATTCTACCCCAGATGACATCACAGGACATTCCAACATTTTAGAGGGTGGCAGACTGGGTTTCCTAGCTTTCTGATGCTTTTAATGACCTCAAAACATCTAGAACTGGCCCTAACCCCAACCCACCTACGCCCCATGAGAGAGTGCAGCCTAGATCCCAAGACTACATGCAGCCTAGGTCCCACTACTGCATGTAGTCTACCTACCACCCCTTGAAATATTAGACTGTGCCGTCACCTGTGGATTTCCCCTGTCTGGGATAGGATGTTATTAAAGCACCCACTTAAATGCTATGTTTAGGTTCTGCTTCTTTCTTCCTAATGACATTACTTCTTCTGTCTTTTTTGCGTTGTCTTAAATTATTTAGAGTCACCAATCAGAACGAAAGAGAAGGTCACTCAGAGAGATGGATGGAGGTGGTGATACCCGCAACCTGAAGAGCTGGGAATGCTGAAGGGCTGGGAATGCTGAAGGACTGAGAATGCTGAAGGGCTGAGAATGCTGAAGGGCTGGGAATGCTGAAGGGCTGGGAATGCTGAAGTGCTGGGAATGCTGAAGGGCTGGGAATACTGAAGGGCTGGGAATGCTGAAGGGCTGTGAATGCTAAAGGGATGGTAATGCTGAAGGGATGGGAATGCTGAAGGGATGGGAATGCTGAAGGGCTGGGAATGCAGAAGGGATGGGAATGCTGAAGGGCTGGGAATGCTGAAGGGATGGGAATGCTGAAGGGCTGGGAATGCTGAAGGGATGGGAATGCTGAAGGGCTGGGAATGCTGAAGGGCTGGGAATGCTGAAGGGATGGGAATGCTGAAGGGCTGGGAATGCTCAAGAAAAAGAAATACAGTTCTGGGGTTGGCAAAGCCTTAAAGAAAAGAGTACCAGATTGTAGTTCCAGAATTTGTCTGGGAATTGTCTGTGAAAGAAGGGCATCAGGGAAAGGAATCAGTCACCTCACCTCATATGTCATGTACAAGTAGGTATAATGCTCTAAAATGGAAGGTTATGCAGTGAAACTGTCTTTATTAAAATATATACACACATAAACACAAATATATATGCAAGGCATATACCAGAATACTTTAAAAAAGTTTTTGGTACTACCTGCCAATAGTTTTCACATGAGAAGGTCACAGGCCTCAGTGAGCGTTATCGTGTGACACAGTTCCTCCACTGATCCATACAGTTTGGTTGCACGTTAGAATGTCAATGCCTGACCTGGGATCTTTCTACTGCATGTAAACAACATGTATGTAGCACATGTTCATTACTTTGTGGTGCCTCTCCCCAGTCCTCAATCTCTCTCACATATTGCCAAGTTGGTTGTGTCCAGTTCACAATCTAAAAAAACTTCTGCAAACTTTAGTTCGTCTCTATATATTCATCTTTGAAGATGAGTTAAGTTCAGTTGTCAAGAATTGACATCACAGCACTCCGGGCATTCCCATGGATGCTCCATCCTCATCTTAAGCAGCCAGCGCAGAGTTCCAATACTGATGGTACCGGTCACAATCTGGTTATATGTCCGTCTTGACTTTCCCCTGAGTGTAATGAGCCGGCCAGACCCTCTGGTTACACATCTTTGAAGATGTGATGAATCATCCATTTCTTCTGATGCCATGATTGTAGAATTCCTCTACTTGGATCCCCAATCATGTCTTCAGTTTAGTAATTAAGTCCTGGTCATTTGAGAACAGAAATAAAAAGTTATTTAAAATCAATAATCACAGCCCTGGGCCTGAACGACTCTTCTTGTTTAAAAATATGAAGATTTCTTTCCATATTCTTCATTTTCCTAAAAGTAATTGGAGAAGTGCATTGTGAATATATTATATTTACCTGGTTCTCGTAAAAAAAAGAAGTACAAAAATGAGACTCACATTGTACAGGTGCAGCCATGATTGGTGATTATATCGTATGGTTCCACAGAAATCTGCTGTCAGCTGGGATATGTCAATGTGGGTATAGAGTTCCTGTGCTGTCTTCATTAATACAACCTGACGATTGATGTTATAAAGGTCAAAGGTTGTAAAACAGGTCACAAATGGGGCAATGGCAGTAAAACATTCAAGAAAAAAATCCCAACTTTTATTCTATCAGGTTCCTTTGAAGTCTGAGTGCATCTGCCTGAGAGGTGAGAAACCAATAGTTTGCACACAAACAAGTCAGACCTTTAATGGATGTGGATGCTAAACTCAAATTCTGGAACAAGACCAAAGTCCAGAAATGGGTGAACATCCAGAACTTTCCCCTGGAGTTTACAGCCAGTGAATGCTAAGAAGAAGGAGAGGAAGACTGAATCAGTCTTAGTAATATTTTTGTTTGGGTTGTTCCCTTCCAGAGCTGAAGTCTAAAGGATTAATAATGAGAATCAAGCAGGTACAAATCTGGGAAAACCTGGTCAAGCATACAGCCATTTAGCACAATTTTCCTGGTGCACCAAAAATGTATCACAAATTGACATGTAGCCAGTGTGGGTCGGTGTGAGTTTAGTATACAACAACATGCCACCAACACTTCTGTAGCTTTTGATGCAGTATTACATAAAACTGAATGTGGTATCTCAGGATGTCACCCACTGTGGTATATCGTGATGTCACCCAATGTTGTACATCATATCACCCAATGTGGTATGTCATCCAATTTGGTATATCGCGATGTCACCCAGTGTGGTATATCATGATGTCACTCACTGTGGTATATCATGATGTCACCATGTGGTAATGTGGTCACCCAATTTGGTATTCATGATGTCACCCAGTGTGGTATATCTTGATGTCACCCCATGTGGTATATCTTGATGCCACCCCATGTGGTATATCGTGATGTCAACCAATCTTTCTATAGAATTTCAGCTCAAAAGCCCCTATTTTCTTCTAATGACTGCGAGATAGTCCATGACTCACACCTATAAGTTGCTACAGGAAAGATGCATGCTCTCGAAAATTTTGACTTTGATTTTCTTGCTGGTGGGTAATCATACTTTTTCTTCTTTTTCTTCTCCTTTCTAGTTCACTGGCTGTAAGCTTTGGTGGAACGTTCTGGTTTGTTGTCCATTTAGACTTTGGATTTGTGCCAGGGCCTAAGTTTTGCGTGTACATCCCTTTTACACTTCTTTGTATGCAGTTGGTTGTTCCTTGCCACTCAACAGATGCACCCCAACTTGGAAGGAAGCTCCCAATTAGTCAACTCCTACCACATGCTTGTTGGGGAGGCAGTGGGTCTATTCTTCTTTTGCCCCACATAGGGCCCCGGAACTCGAGGAACGAGACTTTTAACTCTGTTTAATTTTTGTATTGCAATGGCCATCATCCTTTTGACCTATGTTGAACAGTTTTCAATGCTGTTTATTAAGGAGGCTAGATATTCAAAGTTTATGACATTTATAATTTCTTTATAATTTATTGTTATTTTTGAATGAAAGGCAGTTTTGTCTGTGGACATTCCTTTCAGTTTTCTTTAAATTCAAAAACAGGTTTTGATCTTCACTGTTTTTAGGCAGACATGATTATAATGTTTCCCTTTGCACTGTTTGAAAGGGGGACGGTGTTGCCTGTAAGGTGAAGTTGTGGAAGTGTTGCCACTAATTAAGAGTGGATCATAACTGTCACAATAATAAACCACAATGTTACCAAATAATGAGGAAACTGCTAATACTTTACAGGTATTCATCCAGACGTAGAGTAATGACACATTAATTAGAGAACCTAAAAAAAATTCTCCTGAAGCTGTCTGGACCACCAAGAACTGTTCTCAATGAAGACAGTTCATAGATTTTCCTACTTTTAGTCCCACCTAAAGCCACTGAGTTGGTATGGGAGTGTATTAACAACAGTCTTGTCTTGTCTTGTCTTGTCTTGTCCACAATTGCCTCACAGCGTAGTGGGGAGTCGCAGTTTTCTATCCTGGGCCAGGTGTGTTGCATGTGTTGTGGTTAGTCCGTGTTGCCTCAGGATCTCTGATATATTGTCTATCCATCGTACTCTCGGTCATCCTCTTGCTCTAGGGCAGTATTAACAACAGTGCCAAACGATAAACACTGAAACAGATTCTACCTACCTTGAATAGAGGAACTCGAGGATGTTTCTTGCTTGGCTTCACACCTAGAAGCTTCTTCAAGATGTGCGATCTGGTTTTATTGCGAGGCTTCAGAAAGTATACAGCCCCGATTGTGCCTCTTCGTTGAAGCTGTGTTGGGATTATTTATAGGTGGTGTCAGAAATATGAGACTTTATTATTATAATTATTATTGTTGTTTTGGTAGGATCGTAGTTCTATCTCTCTGTATGCTTGTATGTATGTCTAACAGCGATTCGTTTTTTTTTTGTCAGTCCATCTGCCTGTCTGTCAGTCTACATAAATATAGGTTATTTCTTCTGTCTGCCACCCCCCCCCCTTCCGTGTCTTCATCCCAGATCATCTACCTATTGTGCATCTTAATCAACAACTGAAATAGAAAAAGAAGAAGGTAAGCAGTGAACTGATGATATTAGATCGGCAGGCAAGTGGTTTATCTACTTTACTGTACAGAATTATAATTATACCTCATTTAGAGTTTGAATCAGGAGCTTAATTGTGCACAGATGGATTGCTACCCAGGATGCAATTTTTTGAGGTAGTAGCCAGGAAGGGTAAAAACAGTTAGTTAAAGGGAGGAATGGCACTGGCACACATGCGATCCTAAAGAAGAAGAAAAAAGGAAAAAGAAGAAGAAGAAGAAGAAGAAGAAGAAGAAGAAGAAGAAGAAGAAGAAGAAGAAGAACAACAACAAACAACAACAACAACAACAACAACAACAACAACAACAACAACAACAACAACTATGTATATTATACAATTTACTACAAATACCGTACCTCCACTGAATCAAGACTAACCACCAACTGCTTGATGGCAAGAGCAGAAGCATGTCGAAGATCTGCTAGACAAGCTACAGGTAGAGTCTGGGACACTCCTGTGGCATCTTCACTGGATGCCTTGACATACTTGGAGATCTCGCTCAGGTGAAAGAACAGAGAGGTCACTCTGTCAGTGCTCCATTTGGTCAGCTCCTCCAACTTGTTTGTGGGTATGGTTATGATGTAATGTCCAGTGAAGCAACGGCCACCTTCAAAACACAATAAACGAGGTAGCAGCGCAAAGTGAAAAACGTTCATATCCACTCCTTTACCTCTTCCTTATATATGAATGGATGGATGCATGGATGGATGGATGGAAGGATAGATGCATGCATGAATGGATGGATGCATGCATGAATGGATGGATGGATGGATGGATGGATGGATGGATGCATGCATGAATGGATGGATGCATGAATGGATGGATGCATGAATGGATGGATGGATGACTGAATGGATGGATGCATGAATGGATGGATGGATGTGTGAATGGATGGGTGGATGCATGAATAGATGGATGGATGCATGAATGGATGGATGCATGCATGAATGTTTGGAGGGATGCATGAATGGATGGATGGATGGATGGATGGATGGATGGATGGATGGATGGATGGATGGATGGATGGATGGATGGATGGATGGATGGATGGATGGATGGATGGATGGATGGATGGATGGATGGATGGATGAATGAATGGATGGATGCATGAATGGATGGATGGATGGATGCATGAATGGATGGATGGATGGATGGATGGATGGATGGATGGATGGATGGATGGATGGATGGAAGGAAGGATGGATGGATGGATGGATGGATGCATGCATGAATGGATGGATGGATGGATGAATGAATGGATGGATGCATGGATGGATGCATGGATGGATGGATGGATGGAATCATGAATGGATGGATGGATGGATGCATGAATGGATGGATGCATGCATAAATGGATGGATGGATGGATGGATGGATGGATGGATGGATGGATGGATGGATGGATGGATGGATGGATGGATGGATGGATGCATGTATGCATGTATGCATGGATGCATGCATGAATGGATGGATGGATGCATGAATGGATGGATGGATGGACAGATGCATGCATGAATGGATGTATGAATGGATGGATGGATTCATGAATGGATGGATGAATGCATGAATGGATGGATGCATGCATGGAAGGATGGATGAATGGATGGATGGATTCATGAATAGATGGACAGATGGACATATAGATAGAGAATATATTTATGTGAGAGAGAGAGAGAGAGAGAGAGAGAGAGATCTAGTGAGAGCGAGAGAGAGAGAGACAGGTGGATAGAGAGAGCATGATTGCGACATACAGCGAAATGCTGACAGAGAATGAATGAGAGGTGAGGAGGGGAAGGTAGAACTCGAGACAGAGAAAACGTGTCTGTGAGAGAAGGGGAGAATGGGGAGGAAGAGACCTTGAGAGAGACCAAGTAAACATGCGAGAGAAACTAAGAGGGGTAAGAGAATGCAAAAGAGTTTGAGACTTCAGAAAAGAGAGGGGGGAGAGAAAAAAATCAATAAGAGATAACGAGAGATGGAACAGATAAAAGCGAGATAAAGACATGCAGACAGATAAGTAAGCAGGCTGACAAACAGGGCTGTTTGCAGGCAAGGGCCGACGATCGCACAGCAAGAGATTACCCACAACAACATCTTCGGCATTACCTGTCAAACATACAATCCCACTCTCCAGTGCTTGGGTCTTTTCGCTGTCCTCAATCATCGCCAATATCAACAAACGCTGAATCAAGGCTGTGCTTGATCTGCAGAAACAATTATTTCAGAAGAACATTCACCACCCTGTGCTGTCCCCACCGTGAAGGGCAGTTAGGGTGAGTGTCCAACCAAGGCCTTCTCTAGATTTTGGAGATCGCCTTGGTCCAACTCATTCGTTTTCCACCTGGGAGTGCACCTTGTCTGTGAGCAGAGGGAGGTGTGTGTGTGTGTGTGGGGGGGGGGGGTTGTTAAAGTGGGGCGTTAAGCAAAGCAATTTAGGAATTTGGAGTCCATTTGAAAGTAAAGTAAAGGACCCTTTTCCACACCTCTAGGCGTATAGGGCATATAGGGCTAGACCTATATTTTTATAGTCCACTCAGCACAAGATTGGGTCAGCATTACGCCGGCTGTCTTTACTTCCCGGGACTGCACCCGTTACCCACCTGGAGACAAGGTCATTTTTGTAAAAAAGTCAGGTTCTGCCAAGGAGCGAACCCACGACCTTCCGATCCGCGGTGAGCATCTAGCCGCTCCGCCACAGCGACTCCCAGTCCATTTGTAGGTTACATGTAATATCCCCTTATACTAACATGTTCTTTCTCTAGACTTACTTAAATGTTTTATTTAAAGCTCACGTTTTTAACAAAACAACCGAACTATTAGGTACTTCAAGAATAATAGTTGAGTTGAGTCAAGAATTGACATTGCTGCACTCGGGGCATTCCCGTGCATGCTCCGTCCTCATCTTCAGCAGCCAGCGCAGAGTTCCAATACTGATGGTACCGGTCACAATCTGGTTAAAAGTCCGTCTTGCCTTTCCTCTGAGTGTAATGAGCCGGCCAGACCCTCTGGTTACACCCATGGGCCTCATTCTCTCCAGGCCATAATAATCTTCTTTCTCTACTGATTTCGTTGCTTGTTCCCAAAGGGTCTTGACCACATCTGCCTTGTCATGTATCAGTTCACCACCCAGTGGCGCATATCCAGCCAATCTGTCTGACTGACCTGGAGAAAAGATCCAAAGTATGCTCACCACCCGTAACCTTTCCAGTTAAGCTTGCCACTCTGCTCGAAGCATCCCTGTTCTCACCTTTTTTCAGCATGCTTTCAGAGTATGTTACAGTTACGACATGTGAATGCATCTTGTTCTTTAGCCACCGGAGAGCTGCAGTTACCGCCTCCACCTCCATTATCATGCTAGATGTTGTGGTGTCATATGCTAGGCTGTCTTGCACTAAAGATTTGCCATTGGCTTTCGTTACGAACCCCTAGGCACTTCTCTTTCCTCTCAACACTGAACCATCTTAATAGATAATCAGATCACCTCGGCGTGAATTGTCGTGAATCAACTGTTGGACTTCAACCTTCGTAGCACCCGCTGGCCACTTTCTGCACACCCGGCCCAAAGTTATCATAACCCTACACAGACTTTCCCGCTGGTACTCTGACTCACTCCTCTCCTCACTCAATGTGGCTATCCTCCAAATACCGGTCCCAAATTATCGAGGCCAAAAATATACCCTAACAAGGCCTCAGTCACATGTAAATTGCGGACCTCTTCCGGGGACTACACAGCATACTGCCGAGAATATCTCCTGCACCACTTCGCGCAGCTAAACTAGATGGCTGGGACTCACAAGCAACAACTACCACATCTCATGCAGCTTCCTCTATATTATTTTGATGTCCCTGCTCCAAGAATAACAGTACCTGAACAAACATTTCGTGTAAAACTAAGATTCGATTACTCAGAGCACTAGCTATTAGTACATTCACATATGGCTGTGAAATGTGGACCTTAACAACTGAACTTGATAGAAAATTCTTCGCATATCATACAGAGACAACATTACAAACGAAGAGTTCGCCATAAAATTATACAGCACGTTGACATCTATGAACCTCTTTTAACTAAAGTGAAAAGGCGAACAATGCAATGGTATGGACATGTAATAAGATCTAACGGCCTCTCAAAAACAATACTGCAGGGCTCAGTGGAGGGAAAGAGGAGAAGAGGCAGACCAAGAAAGACCTGGTTACAGAACCTGACTGACTGGACAGGCCTCAGGCATGCAACCATGTAGTCCATCGCAACTGGCCGGCAAAGGTGGAGAGAGCTGATCAGACAGCCAACAGAAATTGATGACCCAACGACACGTAATGTTACTGGAGGATAATGATGAAACAAACATTTAAACACACCATAGTAAAAGAAATCTCAAAAGTAAAAAGCAATTACAATCTACTAGAAATTCAACAATATTTTAACTATCTACTTACGAAAATGGTTTATTGAAATTTCCTGGTTACAACAAGATAATCCGAACTATTAAGTACTCCACGAATAACAAAACCTAAACAAACACTTATATACACCACAGCAAAAATAAAATCCAAAGTATAAAGCAGCAACTACAAGTGATGAGAATATGGCAGCTAGGTCTGTCCCTTTTGTGGTGTGTATGTGTGTGGGATCGGGTTTTCTGTTATGAGCAATTCGCGCCAGGTGGCCGTGTAGGGAAAAAATGTGGAAGGGTTGGGTAGGAAAGCCACTTTATTGATTTTATTTAGCCTAAGTAATCGGCTACAATGGTTACATACGGCGAGTTGTAATCATAGATGTATTAGTCTCAGGGACAACTTGCACCATCCACGATTTATCGGCCCCAGGATACAGGGAGAAAACAATTGCTTTAAAAAAATTGATTGTTGGATTTTCAAACTGTTGCCTTTAAGGTGGGAAGGTTGGAGGGGAGAAGAAGCAGTTTGAAATCATGGGACGGAAATCATATCTGTCAGATTTGATACAAAGTGCACGAGACAGAAGGCTGATGAGAGAGCTGACTACCACACGGCATGAACAAATGTCAGATCTTGTCACTAGACATACAACACAGTTTGTTACTTACCGTCCCAATTAGGATGGAATTTTTCGTTATTTGAAGCCCTACTCTGGCTCTTGCCGGGGGCCGCAATATAGCCTGGCCATAAATAAGGCCTAAAGGCTGAATGCGGTACCTGGGACCTCTCCACGGTGATCCTCACCCACATGGTGGCACTTTGTGTCATCGACTGTTAATCGCTTGTGTGATGCCCTGGTGGGGTAAAAAGTCAGTCAGGTCTTGTCACTCGCTTTAGGACCATGTACTTTGATTCAAGTCGTAGTAATGCGTCTTCTAATTTAAATGTCTTTCTTGTACTTCCAGGGTGTACTTGGGTGGTCTCGAGGCATGGCGTATCCTTGAAGTGCTGGAGTTCCTGGGTTAAAGACTCAGTGAAGGTTGGTAATTTTCCAGTTGACTTCTAGTAATTTCCCCTGGTGTCTGGGTACTAAGATTGGACACCCGTATGTATTGTTGCCTACGTAAAAAGTCCCTCGGCAGCTGGAAATCGAAAAAAGTAGCCTAACGGCACTGCCCGGGCAAAATTTGGAGTCAAAAATCTACCCAAAGTATTTCAGGATCCTCGCAGGTGCTGAGATTCTTTGGACTCAGGCTTGAGTCAGAAGTAGAACGGAGCAGTATGGGTTACCACCCTTTTGCCGTGACGTTGATCCGTCGTCTAAACGTAACTAATCTTGAGCTTCCCTGAGTATCCACTAGTATAAGTAAATGAAGGACGCTTTTCCACGCCTTTAGGCATGTTGGGCATATAGCATTAGACCTATATTTTGTAGACCAATTGGCGCATGGTGGTAAGCATCACGACGGCCGCCTTCGCTTCAAAGGACTGCACCTTGTATCCATTCAAGGCTGAGTCGATCTGGAAGCCAGAGTTTATTTTTTTTTTTTTTTTTTTTTAAATTTTTATTTTTTTAAAAGTTAGCTTTGTCAGGACCCGAACCCACGACCTTCCGATCCGCAGGCGAGCATGTAACCTCTACACCACGACGACTCACATCCACCCATATGTGTGAATTTATTTCGTTTGCTTTGTCAGTAAGAGTCAGATCATCGTCCTCATCATCATCATCATTATCATCATCATCATCATTATCATCGCTGTAGTCGTCATTATCATCGCCATCATCATCATCATCGTCGTCGTCGTCATTATCATCATCATGATGATCATCACCATCATCATCATCATTAGTAGTATCATCATCAACGTCATCATCATCATCCTCTTCATCATCATCATCTTTATCATCAAAAGCTCACAGCCAGCGCTGGGTTTAAAAATAAGCTAACCAAGCCGCAACTTATTCATTGAATGCCCCCCCTCCCCGTTGGTCCAGGGGCCTCATGGGGGGGGGGTAATTAGGGACTTTCCAGAGTGCATCTGCTTGAGGGGCAGTGAAACGAGTTTAGAGAGCAATGGCAAACTCATTACCAATCCCTTATTATCAAGAAACACATGAAAATGTATCTTTCTTTAGCACAGAGGTTCTCAACCTTCCTAATGCGGCGACCCTTTGATACAGCTCCTCGTGTTGTGGCAACCCCAACTGTAAAATTATCTTCGTAGCTACTTTATAACTTCAGCGAATTTGTGTTTTCCGATTGTATTAGGCAACCCCTGTGAAATGGTCGTTCGACTCCCAAAAGAGGATGCGACCCACAGGTTTAGAACCGCTGCTCTAGTCCACTGTGGGAAAAGGGGGGGGGGCAGAATAGACCCACTGCCTCTTAACAAGCATGTCGTAAAAGTCGACTTATTGGGGGTGTTTCTTTCAAAATCGGAGTGCGTCTGCCCGAGAGGCAAGGAGCCAGTAGTCTGCATAAAATATGCCATACCTGTAAAATGGATATGCACGTCAATCTCAAGTTCTGGAACAAGACTTAAGTCCAGAAGTGGACGAACAGCCAGAACTTTCCGTGTGCAGCCAGTGAACGTAAAGAGCATGAACAAAACAAAAAAGATCACAAAAATCTATCTGTATGTGTAAATCGTGAAGGTGTTCACAAGCGGAAAAACCAGACAATTGTGCGTGTTACTCAATCTAAATAAAGTTAGTAGTGCATCCTTTCCAAGACGTTGCAGAACCAACCCCATAACTTTTTGGCTGTTGTGGTTTTTCTAGGCAACTTTGCGTTCAGACGTTTGCCATTGCTTGCCAAACTGTCGGCTATTGAAACCAAATCACCTGCAGCTGGGATTGAACCCGGCAGCTCGGCATTACGAAGCACGTATGCAACGCCTAAGCCACAGACGCTGACCACTATACTCTCCCTGACTACTTATTCCGTCACAAATACTACAACCAGCTGTTCGTCAACGTACAGCCTTAGACAGTCTCATTTGACTTCGACACACCTGTTGTTCTCTCCACTCGACCTCACTCTCCGACCTGCAGCTCGTCCCAGTTTCACGATTCAGCACGATGAAAGTACGCACACAGCCCGTCACTGTCTGGCTGTTCACGTATACACAAATCCAACAGACAGTCAATGAAATCGTACACAGCGTCATATTAGTAACTAGCTCTGCCCTGCCACGCGTTGCTGTGGCCCCGAATGGTTAAATGGAAAAGAAAGAAAGTAGCTCTCAGCTAACAGTGTCTGTCATGACCATCACCCCCCCCCCCCCCCTTTCCCCCTCACCTCCATCAAGTCATATCTCCCTCTCCGAAGGATTGAACAATCATCCCTGGTGAAAGTTTTAAAATAGAAATTGTTAAGAAATGATAACGTTAAAATAATGTTGTAAGCTCTCTCAGTTAACAGTGTCTGCCATCAACCCCCCCCCCCCCCCCCCCCCCCCCCCCCCCCACATATCATATCATCCTCGCCGAAAGATGGAAAAGTCATCATCTGACGAAATAATGTAACTAAATTGAGCTTTGCATCCGTGTCCACCCAAAGACAGATGGATAGCATTAATGTGTTATGAGAAATACATGTGGTCAGTGTAACAGCTACCACATCACCCAGTTCGGTGTAGCCAGAGGAGTTAGCGCTGCATGTTGTCGCCACGGACTGTTTAGTGTAATTGAGCTCCCAACAAAGACAAAGAAAAAAAAAACTCCATCACCTAACACAGTAATCGTGCGTTCTATACTCACAAATAGCGGAAGTAAAAACCCCTACCCGTCATCTCCCCTCTCCGAAGGGACGAATGTTAAATGACCTTGGCATCCGTGTCCACCCAAAGTAAACTGGACTGTAAGCAGTGTTAGTTAACAGCTTCTGTCATCAACGAAAAGTTTATGATCGAGTGAAGCGTCGCGGGGAGGTTAAATGGTACTCCACTGAAATCGGATGTCTTTGGGCGAAAGGTGCAGATATCGCAGCCTAGCTGTGAACCACAACACAACATGCCAACAGCCCTCTTGAGGGAAAAATAAAAATTAGCACCCATTGGGTAATCGAACACCGGTCAACCACGTGAAGGGCGGAATACGTACAACTATACTACCTAAGACTGAAGAGTTTTGGTCCGATATCGCAGCGTAGCTGTAAACCACAACGCAACGTGCCAACCGCCCTCTCAATGGCGAATGAAGATTACCCGTGACATGACCAACATTAGGTCGCCACTATCGCAGGCTAGCTGTAAACCCCCAAACCGAGCTGAAAAAAAGACGTAGATATCGCAGCCTAGCTGTAAACCACAACACAACGTGCCAGCCGCTTAGTTAAGGGCAAAAAAAAAATTTAATCACCCAGCGGGTCATTGATCGCCAGTCACCCGTATACAACTACGCTACCAAGGGACTCAAGCATTTGCCCAATTATATCTCCCTCTCCGAATGATTGAAACATTATTTTGTGGCGACATTGTTAAAATTGTTAAAATATAATTAGTTAAGAAATGAGAGCTGTAAAACAATGTCGCCACATAATAATGTTTCAATCATTCCGTGGCGACAGCATGCGGCGCCAACTCCTCTGGCTACAACGACCTGTACAGACAGTAGTGACCGTTTTGTGTTGTTGTTGTGACGGTGGTGGTGGTAGTGGTAGCAGTAGTACTGGTACTCGATGGGTGATGTTGTAGCTGTTACACTGGCCACATGTACTTCTCAGTACAGATTAATGCTACCCATTTTTGTCTGGGGGGACACGGATGCCAAGCTCAATTTAACAACAATATTTCGTCAGGCACTGACTTTCCCATACTTCGCAGAGGATGATATGATTGTCACGGGGGAAGGGGGGGGGGGGGGTGTTGAGGGGGTTGATGTCTGACACTGTTAACTGCGAGACATTAAAAGTACAGCAGAAGGTTGTGGAAGATCATCTGCGCCAGAAGTCATTAAAAGTACATGAGACAGAAGGTTGTGGAAAGACATGACTACTAAAGCTACACGGCATGGACTTTGTTGGCTGCGGATATATTCTCAAGATGAATGGCAGCAAAAGCGGCAGAAGAAGAAGAAGAAGGAGGAGAAGAAGAAGAAGAAGAAGAAGAAGAAGAAGAAGAAGAAGAAGAAGAAGAAGAAGAAGAAGAAGAAGAAGAAGAAGAAGAAGAAGAAGAAGAAGAAGAAGAAGAAGAAGAAGAAGAAGAAGAAGAAGAAGAAGAAGAAGAAGAAGAAGAAGAAGAAGAAGAAGAAGAGGAAGAAGAAGAAGAGGAAGAAGAAGAAAAAAAAGAAAAAAGATATTTTAGTAGGAGGAGAGAAGAAGGTTTATGAGGACGAGCAGCTGAAGAAGAAGAAAAAGTAGGATGAGAAGGAGGAGTCACGGCGGAAAAGAATAACAAGACGAACAATAACAAGATGGGCACAGCTTGTCTAATAGTTTCATTATCCAACCTTTACCAATACTTTCCCAGCACCCAAGTATGTAGAACTGGATCAATTCAAGCGTCGTGGTACCAATTACAATACCAATTACATCGAAGACAATGCAAAATATAATCTTTTGGCGATGACAAACCTACTACAATTTTTTTTTTTAAGGAAAGCACACTGATTCAAATGCTGTCATGGTCCCTAAAATGTCTTGCATAAATATGAACTAAACTCAGCCTAAAATCAGCAGCAAGCCCATTGAATTGAAGATTACCGGCTGTAGTATTTCAATTATTATGATTTCGTCTGTATATTACACAATTAACAACCGTAATGTAACAGATGTATCCAGCAGTGCGGGGCGTTTATTGTGTATTACCGAATTAATAGCCGAGTTATACCACGCGTGCCAAGCGGTGCGTGGAATAGTTTATGATACGTGTGGGTTCCAGAGCCCCATTGTGGGGGAGGTGGGGGAGGGGGCAAATAGACCTACTACCACCCCGAAAAGCATGTCGTAAGAGTCCACTAATTATAGATTTCCTTTGTAGTCGGAGTACATTTGTTTGAGAGATAAGGAACCATCAGTCTGCGTGCAAATAAGCCAGATCTGTGCAACGAATGTACACACAATGTTCTAAAACAAGATTGAAGTCGAGAAGTGGGCGAACAACCAGAACTTGCCCCACGAGTTTACAGTCGGTGAACGCGAAGAAGAAGATATACAGCAAGGTTATTCATCTAAATTTACCCAGGGGTCAAAATTTCGAAAATGGGGATCGTCACGGGCCAAAATCCAGAGCCCAGCATGGAAAGCTAGTTAATACAAAACAACGGACAATGATCTGCGGGCCACTTGCTGTGCCTCCGCGGGCTTGATTTGACCCGCGGGCCGCCAGGTGACTAGCCCTGATATATATATATATAGCAATGTGGTTAATCTCCTGCGTTGAACATTTTCTATCCCCCATCAATTCATCATCATGTCACTTAAGGGGACCTTTTCATTATCCTGGTGGAAGGACTAGGTTTTTCCCCTAAGGTTTTTGAATAACGGATCAAGATCATGGCACACGGGTAGTAACCCATAAGTGCTCCGTTCTTCTTCTAACTCAAGAAAAGATATAAACCCGAACGAAAAGTATATTAGCAAGCTTCACAATATACAAATAAAACGTGAATGTTGGTGCTATTGAGCCTTCATCGGCACATATACATTAAACAATACTACATAAATACACAAAATCACTTAGCTGGGATCTCTATGCGGCCAGGTAGTGAAAAAGACAAACCGGCGGCTAGGAGATAAAGCTGGCGATAATGTACTGCCTGAGTCCAAAGAAACTCAGCACAGTCCACATGCTCGTAGCACCGGCGAGGATCCTGAAATACTTTCGGTAGATTTTCAACTCCAAATTTTGCCGTTATTCTACTCTTTTCGATTTCCAACTGCCAAGTGATTTTTGTGCGAGCGCATCAATGCAAACGGGTGTGCGGTTTCACAACCCAGAGACCAGGGGGAATTATTAGAAGTCCAAGTCCATGTGAACAAATCCCAGCCCTTACCGAGGATTGAACTCAGAATCTCTAGCACTAGAGACGGACACCATTCTGTTGTATTAGGCGGACACCATGCCACGAGACCATGCAGCCCCCTGGTAAACTGACTAATACTGCTGGATCCATGTTTACAAACACCAGTATGCTCTTGATGGATAACGTACTTAAACACAAGACAGCATTCGTTTGCCATAGTGTTTCCTTGCACTAGTATGTATGCTTGGTATTCCAGAGCAATTTAACTATTTTTCTTCCTCTTGTCAGCAGCCTTGGCATAGTGACTAGACGCTCGACTGTGGATCCTAATTTCGTGGGTTCAAATCCGAACAGATGCCTGCTTTTTCCCCCTTCAAAACTGACCTTGGCTTCCATGTCGACTCAGTCTTAAACGGGTACCAGGTAAAGTCATGAGAAGTAATGGCGGCCTGAGTAATGTTAAACACATCACCCACCGAGTGCTGATTGATCAATGAAATATAGGTCTAGCCCTATATGCCCAGTACGTTTAAAGACGTGGAAAGGGTTCCTTTTTTAACTTCTTCTTTTTTTACGTTTGCCCTTTCAAAGCCGATTGACATGTTGTATTAGTATTTACACATAGGCTGGGATGTCTGGAATTGGGAAGATGTTAGGATCTTACGTGTTCTTTCCAATGTGTTGTATATGTTGGTCTTTATTTCCTTAAGGTTTTTCTATATTCCTCTTATTATATGGTCTCCCCCTTTTCCGTGACCAAAATATTTCTTCAGCATAGCGCGGTTCTCTGTATCAGATGGTGACAGGGCATTCTCATCAGATGGCGAAACCATATCATCTATTACTTGTTAATAGTACACTGTATGACTGCATACTTTGTCTTCTTCTACTTTTGCCTTTCTAACCCATAATGGAGCATTTTCCCTCAACCCACTCACGCCAGGTCGTTCTATCCTTCGCTATCGCAGGCAGCTCTACCCATGTCCTCCCCATCTTTTTAAATTCACTCTCTAGCTACCCTCTCCGTGTGTTTGTAGGTCTTTCTTTATCTCTATGCCCCTGTGGGTTCAAGTGTAAATACATTCTAGTTATATTGTTCTCTGGTTTACTTAACGTGTGTTCTATCCAACGCCAGCATCTTTTCTTCACTTCTTGGTGCACTGAAATTTGATGGGTTCTATTCTGAAGTTCTGTATTAGTGATTATATCATTCTCTTTAATTCCCTCTATTCTGCACAGGCACAAGTTAATGAATGTTTGTAGTTTATTAATAATTGCCTTAGTTGTTCTCCATGTTTTTGCTCCATACAGCAGTACTAATTCGACATCAGAATTAAAAATTTTAAAGTATACTTTGTACCAGCATAAAAAATAGACGAGGCTTTCAAATAAAATCGTTGCAGAATCACTTATATCTATTTTTACTTTGGCCTCCTTCCCGCCCCTGGCTCAGATGGTTATTGTTCCCAATCACATTTAGCGATCCGAGCTTTATTATTTAATGTCAATACTTCATGCGGCGGTGATTAACTAATTGTGAACCATTACGCTTTTACAGGCAATATTTATAATATATCAGCAACATAATGTTCTAACCTGCTTTCTGCCTTCTGTCTCTCCCAATAAAAAAAGCATTGCCTTTCAATCATCTTATGCCAAGCCGCTCGATATCTCCTACACCGCCTTACATTTTCTTCCTATAATAGTAATCTATATTATTTTCTCTGGGGGCTGAGTGGTCTCGATGCATGGTGTCCGCCTTGAGTGCTAGAGGTTCTGGGTCCAATCCCCGGTAAAGGCTGGGATTTTTTCACGTGGACTTAGACTTTTAATAATTCCGCCTGGTCTCTGGGTAGTGAGATCGGACGCCCGTGTGCATTGTTGAGCACGTAAAAAAAACCCCTTGGCAGTTGGAAATCAAAAAGAGTAGCCTAACGGCGCTGCCCGGGCCAAATTTGGAGTTAAAAATCTACCCAAAGTATTTCAGGATCCTCACTGGTGCTACAGAGCCTGTGCACTGTGCTGAGCTTCTTCAGACTCAGACCTGAGTTAGAAGAAGAACGAAGCCCTTAAGGGTGCATTATGACCCATGTGCCATGATGTTGATTCGTTATTCAAAACCTCAAACCTCATTATTTTCTCTGCGTAGTCCATGTCTCTTAACTATTTCCTTTACTTTGTAGGTGTCATAGAAGGAATTTTTCTAATGACACTGTCAAAAAGTTGTACAGCGTGTACAATATCCAGCGTCAACATCTTTTCCTCTGCTCTTATTTAATGGAGCTAGTTTAGTTCTACCCATAAGCATGTAACAACCGGAATCTGTTAACTACAGATGGCTATGCAAGTATGTGGCCTTAGCAAGCGATTGGCGTACGTTGTGTGCAGTCCAAGTTAACTCCGATCGTTTTGCGTGGGTTCCATTTCTCTATTGAGTTGACAAAAAATGTGAGCATTTATTCCTAAACATACCCCAGCACCGACATAATTAACTACTAGTACAGTTAACCCACGGGGGCATAAGAATAAAGGAAGGCCAAAAAAAGACACGGAGAAGAGAGCTGGAGAATGAAGTTAGAAAGATGGGGAGGACATGGCGAGAGCTCCATGCAATGGCGAAGGATAGAACGACTTGGCGTGAGTTGGTTGAGGGCCTATGCTCCATTGGGGGATAGAAAGGCAGAAGAAGACACTGTGTGTACAGTTGATTTTGCTGATGATATAGTTCTGCTAAGTAAATTAAAAAGAAACCAAAGACATGCAAAAGAAAACAAATGATTTAGCAAATATAGCATCAAGGGTTAAACTACAAATAAGTTATGAAAAGACAAAACTACAGAAGAAACCAACAATAGATCAAGCAGATGTACCACTAGAGACAAAAGTCATTAAAGTAACAAATCAATTTACTTATTTAGGTAGTAATTCTGACAGTGAGCGAAATACAAATACAGAAAGTATGACGTGCATTGGCAGGGCAACAGCAGCTTTAAACAAATATAGAACTTAAAATTATAAACTTTTAACTTTTAACCAAGTTACGTATTTTGAATTCTAATGAAGTTTCACTTTTAATATATGCATGTGAAAGCTGCAGAACCAATAGAGGCAGGGAACGAAAGTTACATGTATTTGAAAACACATGTTAAAAAAAAAAATTAGATGAATTTAAATGGAGTTGAAAATTAGGAGAAATGACTGAACAGCCACTATATCAACAGATATAAGACAGATAGGATGACGCTACACTGGACAAATAATGAGTAGAAACAAGCAGAGGATAACCAAACAGGCACTAAAACAGGAAATGAATGGATTAAGGAGGCGGGGACACCCAAAAGAAACCTTAAGAAGAACGTTGATGAAAGAGGCCTAAAATGCTAAACTGGATTACATCCATGATATTGAACTGATTGCATAGAACAGAAATGAATGGAGGAATAGACTACGAGCTCTATGTGACATATAATAGCACAACAGAATAATGAGTTAAAATAGTTTCACTGGCAATTCCTCCTCCACCCCCACACCCATGGAATACTGAGGTACTGAAACACACGTCATGGTGCTTCAGGACCAGGGCTGATACTGACCAAGACGGATCTCCCTGGTCATCCTAGATCCCGAAACCCAAGGCCTGGAGAACGTAGAGAGGATTAACGTCTCCTTGGAAGTCAAGAAGCGCATCTGTCTGAGAGGTGAGGAACCAACAGTTTGCACACACAAAAATTTGCTAGATTTGTAAAACGAATGTGCACGCACTACTCAAGTTCTGGAATAAGACCACAGTCCGAAAGTGGACAAACAACTAAAACTTTCCACCGAAGATTGCTGCTACTGAACGCTTAATAAGAAAAAGATGCAGAATATCCACTGATGTGACCTAGGAATATCAAAAATGTTGCTGTAAATTGCACAACAATCTAGCAATAAGTGGACGGCAGTAAGTGTATTCAATGCAAAAACATACATATCACAGTTATAGCCCCCCCTGTGTGGTTTGTGGGACTCCATAGACGGTGAATAGACATACTGCAAATAACAAGCATGTTTTGTTGTAAAAGGCGATTAATAAAATGCATGCGGAAATCGGATGTGTTGGGTCGAAAGGCACAGATGTCGCAGCCTAGCTGTAAACCAACAGTTTCTGTAAACCAGAAGGTGACGTGCTAGGCGCCATTTTATGGGCGAACGAAGAAACAGAAGAACAAATCTCACCCTGTCTGTAAACAATAAAACAACGTATCAACAGGTCTTCTGAAGTAGAAGAAGAAAAAAAAAAGAAGAGGAAGAAGAAGAAAGAATCACTGTAACGGCCCCAGGTGTCTCCTCTATTTCCCCATGCCCCCCATTATAACCCACCAACCAATAGATGACGAGCTCGGACGCAGACCGACCAATCACATGCCGCCTTCTGCAGACAGGAACAAGAAATTTGAATCGAGACGAGCACGGATCCTGGGGCCACCACATTCAAAATTTCTCAATTTGATGCTTTCTTCTTCATCAAACACCCACAATGTCCGCCGGGAAAGAGGAACCACGTCTGCAGGAGACAATACCGGAGATTCTGATGGACCCGGCGACGGGGAAGCGGTATTTTCGAGGACGGTTTCTGGGCAAGGTGAAAAGTGTGGACAAGTCTAGTCCTGTTGTTGTTTTGTGTTGTAATTAATAATATTAATATAGCTTGCTTTAGAGCTAGCCGCTTGGCCTCTGTGGGCGAACGGACTCTTGTGATTGTGTCTTTGTTTGCTTTTAGTTTAATTAACCACTAATATTTGATGATTTTGTCAACAACAACAAAATCTTTACAGAGTTTGATAAAGTTAGAATATGTTTGCAATATTGAAAGCAGCAAACAACCTTGACTAAAACTAAAATCTAAATAAAGCAATGCGAGGTAAATGTTTGTTTACATTAATTATAATTATGCAATGAATACTGATTATTAAACATTTGAACAAAGAAGACAAGACACAAACAATTGATTGCACAGGTTAATGTCTTTCATATTGACCTCATATTGATATTAAGTCGTCTCTGGTCAGGTTATTACTGTAACACTTGAATATGGATAATTATAATAAATATTTATTTGAATTCGTTATTTCATTTTCTCTGAACTTTTGCTATCATATATATTTTTTTAAAATGTTTGCCGGTAAACTGATTTTCACTATCAATTGGGTCTTACTATTATTTATCATGTAAGTAAATATCCTTAAAGTGGGACTGGTTCTGCCACTTACTTGCTTATAGTATAGGGCAGCCTGTCATCTTTCCTGCCATCTCTCCATTGTCATTTAAATTTTTTTTGCCTGTTTATCTGGTTTTAGCAATTTAGCTTCATTCTTCTATGACCGAGAGAAGGAATCAAGAATTGACATAATTGCACTCGGGACATTCCAACACAGGCACACTCTCCTCCCTCATGATGGAGTAACCAACGAAGAGTCGACGTGCTCAAGTAGTACCAGTTGCAGGATTAAAAGTCTGTGTCCCCACTGTGTCTAGAACTCTCCCCCCCCCCCTCCTCCAAGTGTTCCAGTGAATGCATTCTCTGTCTGCTCTATTGCACTGTCCATTAGATCAGTCTCTTCGCCTGATCCAATTTTCATCAAAATCAAGTAGGTCACAGCCGAAGCAGCAGTAGCAAGTCGTAACAGCCTTCTCAGTACCCAGCACACATGAATAACCTGGGCAGAAAATCCACGACGTCCTCCTGGTCTGAGTTTTATCAACTGATGCAAAAGTTTATGGTTGTAGTTAAAGTGCTTGTCCACACATGACTAGTGTATAATGTAGGCATTACAGGGGCCATAATTGTAACTTCTGAGATTGAACTGGGTATCTGGAGTCTGCCATTCAGATTGAGATTTGTTAACCTTTCCTGGGGGGGGGGGGGGGAGGTTTAACCTGTAAGTAGTAGCTTGAAAGGGACAAATCAGTCAATCAAAAGGTTAAGGCAAGTAAGATATAGACAGCAAATACAACAGGACAAGTGGGAGGAAGACACAAAGAGATGACGAATAATCCTTAGCATACAATACACCAAGACGAGATACAGACTGTTGGAGCCTCTAATGCAGCCAACATTTACTGAGGAGACCATATCTGATCGATTGATTTTCCTTGTAATTATCATCAGTATTACTTTACTGTACTTATGGTTAATGATGTGCCCAAAATACTTTGTGGTTTCTTCTTTGTGTTTATCAGCTGTACGCTTCAGCAAGTTCTGGATGTTTCTCCTCTTCTGGTCGTTAGTCTTATTAGAGAAGTTGAGTTTTGCGTGAAACATGTCTTTTTTTTTTTTTTTTACAGATCTGGCTTATTTGTAAGCACACTGTTGGTTTCTCTGCCTCTCAGATGCCCTCCGACATTGACCTCTTCTTCTTCTTCTTCTTCTTCTTCTTCTTTTCTTCCACCTTGTACCTCATCGAAGTGTCGGGGGGGGATGTAATGTTCGTTGATGAGCTTTGTCAAGAGCACTATTAAGAAGTAAGGCTGTTCTTAATGCCATTACTCCATCTTTTCCGGGGTCTTCCACTTGCTCTATACCCGTTGTAACGTTTTAGTGTGGCTCGCTGTGGCGGATAGTACCAGGGCATTCTTGTTAGGTGTCTAAACCACTTCATTTGTTGTTCTTTGATGACCTGTAAGACTGGCTTTATTCCTAGCATTCGTCTGATTTCATGATTTTGTATTCTGTCTTTCCTTGAAACTCCTGCAGCTCTTCTAAGGCATTTCATCTCTGTTGTAACAAATTTACGTTCATTGGAGAATGTAAGTGTCCACGTTTGGCATTGATAGCATAGTGTTGGCCAAAAAATAGTTCTGATAAGATTCACTTTAGTACTCTGAGGTATCTGCTTGTGTATCAACAGGGGAGATAGTTGACCCATTACCTGATTAGCTTTGGCACATCTGGAGCTAATTTCTCTGTCCAGCATTGATTACAGTTGTGAAATGATTTTCATTTGTGATTTCTTTCTTTACATCAATTTATTAACTATTTTTTAAAATTTAGTTCTTGATTGAGTCTTTTTCATGCGAATGTCTGTTGTCAATTTATACACATATCAACCATTGCTTTCCTCAACTTTCTCATTAGGGTGGATTTGCAAAATGTTACGAGCTGACAGACATGGACACCAAAGAGATTTGGGCTGGAAAAATTGTTGCCAAATCTTTGCTACAGAAGCAACACCAAAAAGACAAGGTAAATATTTGTGTTTCCTAATTATTCTGTTGTTTCTTTATTTCATCATTTTACAGTAGCTAATATAATCACTTTCAAAGAAGAGAACACTGAGAGAAAACCAGCCTCAGAATGATATATCATAATTTTGTGTTGAATGTGTGGCAGGGACTGCCGCTCCCATATATTGGACCTTACGGTCATAGTAGGTGCTGTTCCCAGCCAGCGGCACAACTCCCTGGTCCCCAGGGACTGTCAGTTGCCTACTCGAACTAATGATTTGTCTCTTCTAAATGAATCCCAGCCTTCATCTGTGTTCTCATACTTTAGGAATTTGGTCGTAGCAAGCTAAAGAAATCTGGCTTCTGCAGTGGAACATTGCTACTGTACATCCCATCTCTTTGAAAGTAGTGCTGTCCTGATTTTATTTCCTGCCTTGGGCATCTCTGCAAGACCTTTTGGTAATGAAAGAATTAAATTAAAGCAATCAGCACTCACATCTTTTCACTGTTGTATTCACTTCAATGGTTGAACAAGATAGTTTACCACAGAGCTAAGGGTTTTGCTGAAATTTGATTATTGGACCTAAAGACACAGATGTTGCTGCTGACTGTAAACCACAGTACATCATGACAGCCACATTTTTTAAAGGCAAAGACAGAAGGGGAAGAAGATTGAATTTTGACAGTCTGAATCTTTGATTCTGAGGTCATGTGAGCCCGGGAAAGGCCATCTTTTCCTAATCCCCCTGATATGGTACAGAAGTATAATCTAAAGGAATTGTTGCAGAACTCCATTTTCTCCTCTCCAACCTGAAAAACGGCGACAACCTTGTCTGTATTGTCCTGGGTTTGCCGACTATGGCTCCCAGACATAAAGTGGCACAGATAATGAAAGAGCCGACCAGCTGGCAAGTAGTACACCAATGCAAATGGGAAAAAGCATGGACAGAGCTGATATCAACAACGCGTACGGATTAGGTTGGGAGATAATGGCAAAACTCTGACGCTAACACGACTTCTTGACCGAGAAGTTGAACTTGGTGAAGCACGACTATGTCGTCTTAGAGGTAAAGACAGGAGACACTATAACCAACTCCTCATGGAAACAATAAGTAGAGGTACCTTGAAGTTGCTGCTGCATCGGAGGACTGAGCATGCATGGGGATGCCCAATGTGCAAAGACATCGATTGCGATAACATAACATTGTCTGTATGGTTTGATACAGTTTAATGTGCTTTTCCTTGTATATGCAGATGGCCCAGGAGATCGCCATTCATCGCAGCATTGCTCACAGACACATTGTACTGTTTCACAGCTTTTTTGAGGACAGCAACTTTGTCTACATCTTGCTGGAGCTGTGTCGCAGAAGGGTGAGTCTGCTTTTGACTGTTTTCGATCATTGGCTGTTTCTCTCATTTACTGTTTCCATCCTTGGCTGTTTATTTCATTGACTGTTTCCATCCTTGGCTGTTTCTATCATTGGCTGTTTCTATCATTGGCTGTTTCCATCCTTGGCTGTTTATATCATTGACTGTTTATATCATTGACTGTTTTCGTCATTGGCTGTTTTAGTTATTGTTTCTATCATTGGGTGCTTTCGTCATTAATGGTTTCTATCGTTGGCTGCAACATTGGCTGTTTCCATTATTTGCTGTTTGTGTCATTTGCTGTTTCTATCATTTGCTGTTTCCCTCATTGGTTGTTCTTTAATGTTTCTGATCCTAGGATTAATATAAGGGAGCCATTGTAACATCAGACAGGTGCTAGACCTATATTTTTATCGGCAGGATGGACGTGGTGGATGAAGGGGTCAGCGTCCTGCAGGCCACGTTATAACCTCATGAATAGTGAATGAATGAAATAGATGCTAATGAATGATTGAAGAAATAGACGCTTCACGGATGGTTGGATGAACTAGAGCTTCACGGATGATTTAATCAAATATATGCCTCATAAAGGAATGAAATAAATGCTCACGATGGAGAAATAGATGCTCACGAAGAAAAGAAACAGATTCCTTATGAAGGATTGAAATAGATGCCTCGTGAAGGAATGAAATAGATGCTTCACGAAGGAATGAAAAAGATGCCTCATGAATAAATGAAGGAGTTATTATCATGATACTGCTTCTGCTGTTTTAGAAAAAAGACACATTAAATTAAATTTTTTTACATTCCAGTCATTGATGGAGTTGCATAAACGACGAAAGGCCGTCACCGAACCCGAGGCCAGGTATTTTGTGAAACAGATCATTGAGGCTTGCCAGTACCTGCACAATAACCGAGTCATCCACAGGGACCTGAAGTTGGGAAATTTGTTTTTAAACGATGAAATGGAGATTAAGATTGGAGACTTTGGCCTGGCTACTAAATTAGATTACGACGGCGAAAGAAAAAAGTAAGTTTTGTGTTGCATTAGTCAGATGTTTGTGAGTTTATCCAGCGGAAGCTATTTTTTTAAAAATATGTGGGAACAGTGTCTGCGCAGTACTGTTTTTGGTGATTGGTAGGGTAATCTCCCCGTGTGGGTTCCTGTGCCCCATCTCGGAGAGGAAGAAAAAAAAAAGGAATAAACCCACTGCCTCCCCATCAGGCATGCCTTAAAAAGCAAATAATTGGGGATTTTTTTCTCTGATGTCGACAAGGAACCAACAATCTGCTTACAAATAAGCTAGATTTGTAAAACGGATGTGCACGCAAAATTTGAGTTTAGTTCTGGAAAGAGAAAAATCCAGAAGTGGACAGACAACCAGTACTTCCACTGGAGTTCACAGTCGGTGAAAGCTAAGAAGAAGAAGGAAGATAGGCTAACAATATTATCTTTCAGGGGTCATAAACAAAAGCAAACAATATGAACATGGTGATCTTGTGTGGAAACTCAAATATATCATCGAGGTCTTGAAAGAATGATGCAAAATTGGGGATCTAGCCTGACACTCAGCACTCTGGAGAAAAGTTGGGTGGCCAATATAATCAGACTGTAACTGCTACCATCAACATTGAAACTGCGCTAGCTGTGAAAGATTGGGACCGAGCACTCAGAAAAGCCTGGGCGCTTTGATGTGGATTCTTAACTCAGTGCTGTAATCCACCATGTTGATTCCTAAACTTAGTAATCTGCCATATGGATTCTTAACTCAATAATGCTGTAATCCACCATGTGGATTCTCAACTCAGTAATTATATAATCTGCCATGTGGATTCTTTACTCATTAACGCTGTGGTCTACCTTGTGGATTGTTAACTCAGTAATGCTGTAATCTACCTTGCATGTTGTAAGAAAGGTAAAAAGAGCATTAAGAATAGAAGTAAAATGATAGAATTCTCTAATTTGGAGCTTTGGGAGAGAGCTGATCAAATTACAGTAAATCATGACGTGAGGAAAAGATGCTGGTATTGGATAAGAAAACCCTGAGAAAAACCATAACTCTTTAACTACAGTGACCGAGTTTTTCCCCCACTAACAGGTTGAATGAGTTGAATATATATTATTTGTCTCTATTTTTTTTACAGAAACGGGTTGATTTCACAATTGTACATATAATACAAAAAGTTCAGTCAAAGTACATGTAATTTTTTTTTTTATACATAATTTGAAAAAATACATAATTTTTACTCTGTTGTATGTACTGTAAACAAAAAATACAACCTGAATTTACTATTTTTATTTATTTATCCTTCATGGTTCTAAGTTTGATGCCTACTTTTTTTTTCCTGCATTTTGAATGACAGGACGTTGTGTGGCACTCCAAACTACATAGCCCCGGAGGTTCTAGGAAAGAAAGGACATAGCTACGAAGTTGACGTCTGGTCTCTCGGATGTATTCTGTGAGTGTATTTTATAGTATGGTTGGATACCTGTTGACATTCGCAGTAGAAAAAGAAGTTAGTAATAATATTTGACATTAGGGCTGCGCTGACTGCCTCGAGTGCTAGAGGTCCTGTGTTCAAGCCCAGGTGGAGGCTGGGATTTTTTCACGTGGGCTTCTAGTAATTTCCCCTGGTCTCTGGGTAGTAAAACCAGACACCCATGTGTATTGTTGCGCACGTAAAAAATCCCTTGGCAGTTGGAAATCGAAATGAGTAGCCTAACGGCGCTGCACTTACAACATTTGGAGTAAAAAATGTAATTCAGACTCAGGCTTGAGTTAAAAGAACAGCACTACCCTTTACCAAGCTGGCTACAAAAGCCAACTAACTAAAGATTTGTTGGACTGAAGAGCGCAGATATCTCAGCCTGTAAACCACAACACAGTGTACTAACCAAAACCATCCTTTTAAGGGTAAACACAGAAGAGAAAGGAAGTCATTTTGGGATGTGGGATTACATGATGGTATTAACGTTCTGGAAATAACCTTTTTTCAAGGTGAGTTTTGGGATAGTGGTGGGTCAGAACTTCTTCATGACAGTGGTGTAGTTTTGGACTGGTGGTGGGTCAAAACTTTTTCATGACAGTGGTGAGTTTTGGACTGGTGGTGGGTCAGAACTTCTTCATGACAGTGGTGAGTTTTGGACTGGTGGTGGGTCAGAACTTCTTCATGACAGTGGTGAGTTTTGGGGTGGTGTGTCAGAACTTCTTCATGACAGTGGTGAGTTTTGGGCTGGTGGTGTGTCAGAACTTCTTCATGACAGTGGTGTGTTTGGGCTGGTGGTGGGTCAGAAGACCACAACTTTGCTCATTTGCTGCTCTCCTCCCTCTCATCCTTAAGCTACACCTTGCTAGTTGGGAAACCACCATTTGAGACCTCCTGCTTAAAGGACACCTACCAGCGAATCAAGAAGAATGAGTACATGGTCCCGGCCAAGGTGAGCATTCCGGCCAGAAATCTCATCAACCGCTTGTTGAGGGCCAACCCCTCTGACAGACCAAACATGGATCAGATCATGGGTGATATTTTCTTCTCATCAGGTAAGTGACTGCACAGTTCAGTTCTGTCTGTATACAGTAACATTCCACTGTAACCCCTGTAGTGTGAGGTTTAAGATGTTTAGATACTATAATTAGGTTGATGCTGTAGTGCTCTTTTACAAATATATTTATTAATACATCATAACAGTCATATTTTCAGCATTGCATCATTTTTTTGTTTCCTGAATATTACAGGGAATTGAAATCTTTTTCTTTTTTTTTTTGGAAGAATATACTGCACAAATTAAGATAGTGATTACTGTCTTGTTGAAGTAAAAGTTAAATAGACCAGCTGTAAACTCGATAGAAAGATCTGGTTGTTCATCCACTTCTGGACTTTTAGTCTTGTTCTAAAACCATGTTTGCACATCAGTTTTACATTTCTGGCATATTTGTATGCAGACTGTTGGTTCCTTGCCTCTCAGGCAGATGTACTCTGACTTTGAAAGTTGACTCTTACAGCATGCTTTTTAGGGAAGCAGTGGGTCTGTTCTTGCTCTTGTTGTTCTCCACAATGGGTCATCAGAACTTACACTGGGCGAAAAGTTAACATAAGATAGTACTGAAGTGTGTCTACATTCTGACCAGACTAGGAAAACAAAAAAACTTGTGATGGTTTCAAAATGAAGATTCTCAGCATACCAGAATATGTGGGTATAAACGAAAGCACAGATTCTGTAACCATGAATGGAATATCAAGGAACATGAAATTAGAGTTTTTTTTGCATAAGAAACCAGTAGCAAAGGTGGTGATGGAGGCTTTAATGTTAAAGAAGAGAAGCTGGCTCGTGCTCTACCAATATGCAGTAGTTAGAATGCCAGTAACGCATCGAGTATACAAGGTTTGCCTTTCCTGAGAGCAAGGTGGCTTTTGGGTGGACATCCCTATTAACTCAGTTAAGGGACACGTGTCATAAGTGGTGAACTTCCTTCGAAGTTGGAGTATATCTGCCTCAGGGATGAGGCACCAATAGTCTGCACACAGATAAGCCATATCAATAAAACATGTGCATGCAAAGCTCAAGTTCTGGGTCAAGACCCAAGTTCAGAAGTGGATGAGAAACGTGAACATGAGTTTACAGCCGGTGAGAGCTAACAAGGAGAAAAAAGTGAGCCTAAGTTTAAGATCTGGCAGGAGCAACAAACTTTTAATAATTTGACAGCACAGCGGAAGAATGGTGCCGAGTTTTGCTACTTTGGTGGACCCACCTGCCAATTGTCAGAAAATAATAGGCCGAAACATTTGCAGAAGTTGGTCTGATTCTGATGACCTAGATAAGCTTTTGTGGTCACCCATGAGGGAATTTTTAACTGCTTCTTGGACATAAATGTATGAAAAAAATTGTACTCCTTGCATACATTAAATAGAAAGCGTGTTTACCTTTCAGGCTACCTGCCGCCACGGTTACCCACATCTTGTTTGACCATGGTGCCTAGGTTCGACACGCTGGTCAAGGAACCATCTATGCTAAATCCTTGCGATGGGGTCCCTGGGACTGGACCCAGGAAGCCACTGTTTGATGTTAATGGTAGGTACTTCGCTCAAACCAGTGTGACTCGTTTAGAAGCAGGTCAAAGACTGATACTGAAGTTTGCCAGTGTTGTGTATTGACTGAAAGGAAGTTTACCTCATAAGTGATGCCTTTTTGTATAAACTTGTCTATCTTTTGTTTTTGAGATGAATGAATTTAGAATTTGACATCACAGCACTTGGGGCATACCCTCACATGCTTCGCCCTCTTTGTCGGTAGCCAGCAAAGAGTTTCCATACTTACACTGCCAGTTACAAAGTTTTCTTGTCTTCTGCTTCTTCTTAGCCTTTACCATTTGTAAACCCTGCGGGAAAGCTCTGGTTTTTCGTCCAGCTGTTTTGGATGTTGGAATAAAAAATTTTTTTTGCACACAAACATATGTTTTAATGTTCTGCTTTTTTGTAAGCTGAAAGGCCAGATTATATAGTAATTTTACACCAGCCTTGTTTGCCAGTAGAAATTAGCTTGGCGAGCCAGTTTTGGTCCACAGGCCATAGTTTTCATATCCCTGATCTAAGCCCTTGACTGTGTCTCTGCTTCCTTCTTTCTTGCTAGCCTTGAATAATCAAAGCCTTGAATTCTAATACACAGTTCTTGTACTTGTTTCACAGAAGTACAGACCAGGCCATATACGGCCGAGCCTGGGAGGCGGGAGTTGGACAGGAAACCAGAACGAGGGGCTGGGGATCCCGATTGTGAATCTAAACCTGGTACTGGTCGGAGTAAGTCATGCTATAAATATTTTTCATTGAGTGGTGCAGTAAATAAATAATACGTTACTTTTCTCTTATGTATGTCTATTTTTTTTTAAAAATTAAAAATAGTTTTTGCCACTCTTTTTTCTATTTATTTTCATTTCTAGTTCAATTCTGCCATCATCTGCTGCTACTTGTCCAAGATCTTCCTATAGTCCATGCCATTTTTTTTTTGTAGTCATGTCAGTCCTCAACCTTCTGTCTTGTCTACTTTCAGTCACTTCTGGAACAGGTGGTCTTCCTTACCGTGATGTCAAACTGTCCAGCATCTTCTCTCTCGGGCTCCTCTCTTTTGTCCTGCAACTTCTCCACCGTCACACCTAACCCCAGTTTTCTACTTCTGATGATATGAATAGAGATTGTCTCCTCCTGATTACATGAATATAGATTGTCTCCTCCTGATTACATGAATCTAGATTGTCTCCTCCTGATGACATGAATATAGATTGTCTCCTCCTGATGACATGAATATAGATTGTCTGCTCCTGATGAGCGCAGTCATTTGTTTTCAAGACATCTTCCTTGGCCTTTGTATCTCCAGAGTATTTTCATCATTTGTCTATAAAACCACATCTCTATCACTTCCACATAGTTGTTTGTGTGTTATTCGGCCAACTGTCCATGATTCACTTCTGTATCTCAGGATAGGATGTGAATAGTTATTAAGATTTGTCTTTATCACCTCAATTGTCCAAGTTGGGAGAAACTTATTCTGGTATCTTCTCATTTACAGTGATGTACATTGTTGACCTCTTCTTTCCCCATTGCTAATTATCAGGATTTTTGGGGAAAAAAGGGGGGGGGGGGATATTTTGTTAACTATTTATTTGTGTATAGGGACAGCTGTTTTAATATTTCTTTTTCTATTGCCTGTTTGCAGATGATGATGATGTCAAGGACTATTATTTGTCAGATCTGTGTGGCCAGCTGTCTTCTGTGATGGCTGCCAACCCAGGGGAGAGACTAAACATACAGATGGGTGAGTCAGAAGACCCTTGTTTTCATTGTTAGGGCACCTCTGTCTTACTGAGGCATTCTCTGATGGCTGCCAACCCAGGGAAGAGACTAAACATACAGATGGGTGAGTCAGAAGACCCTTGTTTTCATTGTTAGGGCAGCTTTGTCTTACTCCGGCGTCCATTTCTGGACATTTGTCTTGCTCCAGAACTTAGTTTTGTGTGCACATCCGGTTAACAGATCTAGCTTATTTGTATGCAGACTTGTCTTTAGAAAGAAAAACCTAATTTGTTACCTTTTATGATATCCATATTAGGGAGGCAGTCAGTCTGCTCATTGTTCTTCTAATACTATGGAGCCCCGGTTTCGACACTGAAAATTTAAATTCCTAATAGTTGCATGTGATGAATATGGGGCCACCAATTTTAGCCATGCAAAATAAAATAATGAAATGGAAACATCCAGAAGATGTCTATCTCTTCAAACAGTGTAATGCCTATGTTGACTTATTCTGGCAACTCCATGTGCATGATCTCTACGCACATACATTGTAGATCCTCACATTGTGCACTATGCCACGATTCTCTGTGTGTTATTTGAATCTTGTGGAGACCAAAAAAAAAAAGCAGAATAAAATTGAAATTTGCTTTAAAAGTAATATTAATAGTCTTCTTCACTGAATGTAGACTAAGGCGGACAGTGCTGTTTGTTTGTCCTCTTCTGGTCTTTATTTGTCTTTTTTCGGAACTTGAGTATGCCTGCACATCTGTTTTACAGATCTCGCTTATTTGTGTGCAGACAGTGGGTTGCTAGCCTCTCTGGAAGATGCCTTCTGACTGTGAAGGAAACAGCCTTAATGAATCGACATGCTTATTAGGGGTGCCCTGGAACCTACTCAGGATAGCAGTGAAATTAATAATTAATCATTATGTTTTCAAGACTGATGAGTTACAGCTTTTTGTTTTTTTTGCTCACAGACGAGTGCGAAGACCCAGCAGCCATCCCAATCTACTGGATCAGCAAGTGGGTCGACTACTCGGACAAGTACGGCTTGGGCTACCAGCTGTGTGACAACAGTTTTGGGGTCCTTTACAACGATTCTACAAGGTTGATCTTACTCAGCAACGGAGAGTGAGTGTTATCCTGTTGCTCGTGCTTGTTGCCACAGCATTATGGCTGTTTGTTTCAGGAACCTGCATGTCGTAAAAGGCAGCTTTCCTATGGGGGTTTTGGGGTCCCAATTTGAGGTGATACAAGAATAGACTCACTGCTCGCTATCAAGCTTGTCATAAAAGCTAACTAATAAGGGGTGTTTTCTTCAAAGCCGGAGTTCATCTACCTGAGAGGCGAGGAAACAGCAGCCTGCATACAACTAAGTCACATCTCTAAATGTGTGTGCATGGAAAACTCCAGCTGTGGAACCAGACTAAATGACAAAAGTGGACGAACAACCAGAACCTTTTGCTGGAGTTTTTAGCCGATGAACGCAAAGTAGACTGAAATGAACCTTGGTTTGCACCGACTTTAACGTCTAGGGTAGACAACACAAACGCCACTCGGCTCCTTTGTACATTCTGTCAGTTTATTCTGGTCCATTTGTTCCACATGCTCAAACAATTATTCTCACTTTCATTGCTTGCGACAAATTCAAACACTAGCCATTCGCGCCACATAAAGACTACATCTTCAATTACTACAACCGTCTTCCCTGACTTTTGATGATCGACTGATCACGAGGCTAGCTCGGGCTTCCCCTCGCTTACTACGCCGGCCACAAGCATCTCGTGCCGTCACTTTTAGCACGGACTTTCTGCTTGCCACAATGTACTCTTGGAGACCATGCAAAGAATTACTTGACCAGATTTGTTGGGCCTTCAGTTCACTCAGCCTCCCATGTGGGTTCAGGCACTCTTTCTGTGTGTTCATCGACTGTAAACTCCGGCAGAAAGTTCTAGGTGTTCGACTGCCTCTGGATTTTAGTATTTGTGTGTGTGTAGAACCTGAGCGTTGCATGCCTATCCGTGTCACAAATCTCCTGGTTCCTTGCCTCTCAGGCCGATGTACACTGACTTCGAAGAATGCTTCCAATTAGTCGACTCCTGTGATATGAATGTTGAGTAGTCATTGGCTCTGTTCTTGTTTTCCCATCATATTGGGGCTGTGGAATTTACACGGGAAGTGTAGATTAAAAATTCCTATCATAGCTACAGGAAGAAGCCAGCAGTATGGATAGATAATGGTTAAACATTGCTACTCTCCAGGGTATGGCTGGTTGAGTCTGCCATGTTTCGGAAGACCTATAAGATCAAATTGTGTGATCTCAGCTGGGGCTTATATTTGTGGTAGGGCCGGGGCTTACATTTGTGGTAGAGCTGGGGCTTATATTTGTGGTAGGGCTGGGGCTTACATTTGTGGTAGGACTGGGACTTATATTTGTGGTAGGGCTGGGGCTTATATTTGTGGTAGAGCTGGGGCTTATATTTGTGGTAGGGCTGGGGCTTATGTTTGTGGTAGGGCTGGGGCTTACATTTGTGGTAGGACTGGGGCTTATATTTGTGGTAGGGCCGGGGCTTACATTTGTGGTAGGGCAGGGGCTTATGTTTGTGGTAGGGCTGGGGCTTATATTTGTGGTAGGGCTGGGGCTTATATTTGTGGTAGGGCTGGGGCTTATATTTGTGGTAGGGCTGGGGCTTATATTTGTGGTAGTGCTGGGGCTTATATTTGTGGTTGGACTGGGGCTTATATTTGTGGTAGGGCTGGGGCTTATATTTGTGGTTGGAGCTGGGCTTATATTTGTGGTAGGGCTGGGGCTTATATTTGGGGTAGGGCTGGGGCTTATATATCAAGCATCCTGAAAAATGTTAGTGCCCATTTTGGGAGAAACAGTATGACAAAGTGAAGTTGAAAGTATTAACTTCATTTCACTGGGTTTTATCTCATGTGTCTCCGCAGGATGGTTAGCTGCCTGCAATGAGCGTTGCACAAAGCATGAGCTCTTTAGCTTTATCCACAATCCCAATGGACCTCCATAAAAATTACACTCATGAACTAAATGACGCAGCAATGAGAGGAACCCATGACCTTTAGAGTGCAAGGCAGACGTCTCAACCACTTCGCCACGGAGACCCCCCATGCCAGCCTTTAACTATTTTAAAAATTTCATTAGTAGGCAGCGTTACTAAATGTGGTGGTGCTGCATGACTGTTCTCTAATGCCATGTTTGCTTTGTTACCATTCACAGCAACATTCATTACATAGAGAGGGATGGGACAGAACATTATCACACTCTCAAACAGTACCCTGAGGGTCTGGGCAAGAAGGTCACCCTGCTGAAGTACTTCCGCAACTACATGAACGAACATTTACTAAAGGTTGGTCAACATCTCTGTGCCGTTAAACATTACCGTCCGGTAAGGCTAATCCAGTGAACGAATGCCTGCAGATGTTGGATGTGTCGGCTGAAAAGCAGAAATATCACAGCCACGCTGCGGGTATAAAGCAATTTCGTCTTTAGATGAATGCAGCAGAAGAAGAGGGAGAAATATTACTATGTATTGATTGTCTCTTATCTTTTAATTCTTTCAGCCCCAAGCAAGACCTGATGTGGGAATGACTCTACCCGTTGATTTCCCCCAGTTGCATTATGTGCTCTGTTACGTCTAACATTTGTTCACACATATTAAAGAAATCTGGCTTTTTCTGTGGTCACTGCCAGCATGTTCTGATACCCCACCACGTGCTGCCACATTGCTGCGCCCCTTTTTAGAGATTTTTTTTTTTTTAAAAAAGCGTTTCTTGTAAAATGGGACATGTTTTTTTCCCTTTCTGTTTTTTAATTCTTCAAATGGAACATAGGCTTTAAGTTATGTTGAATTGGGTGCTATAACATGCAGCAGGTGTGCCACAGGTGGGGGGAGGGGAATAAATAAGTACTTTGTCAAGTTATAGTTCACAGTTCTCTAAATAGTTATAGTTCATCTAAATCAAGAGGTGAAGAAGACACTGCCATTGGATGTAACACATACTGAGAAAACCTGAGAACAATACAACTAGTCTTTATTGTGGAACCCACATGGGTATGAAAATAAAGGGACACAAAAAAACCCACAGATTATGTGTGTGTGTATATAATATATAACTATATTATATGTATATATCAGCATATATTATAAATAATAGATGTATTGATCAATGTTAGAACATGCTAGACAACATAAAAATTGAAAGCTATAGGTACCTTGTCAGGAATAGAACCTGTCAACTAGAGATGGCGTGTGCGCCTCACTGTAGAAACATGTTCTTTAAACATGACTAAGCACCCCAGAAAAATGGTGTCTTCATTGGCTATGTCTATCGCACAGCTTGAAAATCCACAACCATCAAATACAGGCAGAATTCATCACATACCATTGAAATTGCCCCATAAGTTAAAGAAATTTATATTAGTCAAACATAGGTCGAAAAACAAACACAGCAGACCATAAATGATTCGCCTGGAATACATGAACGCAGAGAGGGGAGCTAGAGAGTGACTTAGAAACAGTAGAGATGACATGGGATGAGTTGCATTTTATAGCCAAGACTTCGTGTGAGTCGGTTGAGGAACTGTTCTCCATTGGAGGATGCAGGGCAGAAGATATATTTCAACCAGTAATTTTCTCTGATTTCAGGCTGGAGCCAACATGACCCCTCGTGACTCCGATGAGATGATCAGGCTGCCCTTTTTGAGGACCTGGTTCCGCACCAGGAATGCCATTGTGCTGCATCTTAGCAATGGAACACTACAGGTTGGTTGGGTACATCTGCTCTATCTTCCACCCCTTGTCCACATTAATCGAGCATACATCTGTGTTTGTCCGTGTCTTCCACTCCTTGTCCTCTTTGAGCATAGGCCCTCAACCGTGTGTATATCTTCTCCGCTTTCTAGCCTTTGTCCTCTCTTCAAGCATAGGCCCTCAACCATCTCACGCTAAGCCATCTTATCTGAGCTTAGTTAAGAACTGACACCACAGCGATATTTCCATAAGTGTTCTGTCCTTATCTTCAGCAGCCAGTGCAGAGTTTGCAGTATTGATGGATACCAGTGTGGGTCTTGCCTGTTCTTTGAGTGTTAAGTGTTGGTCAGATCTCCCAGTTGTACCATTCTCTGAGTTGATTTATTTGTGCTTCTGTCCAAACTGTTCACTCATTCCCAAAGGGCCTTGTCTATACCAAGCTTGTCGTGCATCTTTTACCACCAAGTGGTGCATAACCAGCTAATTTGTCTGCATGTTTATTTCTCACCACACCTGATTGATTTAGAGAAAATATCCTAAGGAACATTATCCTTTGCTGTCTTCTACAGCTCATTCTCTTTCCACTGCATATTTTATTTATTTCTGTCTCTAATTGTTTATATAATTTAAGGTCTTCAGTTATCCCTCTGTTACTGTATTGATTCTTCTGAAAGGACATTCTAGTTATACTATCAGATTTATTTCTTTTTTTTTTGTGTGTGTCATATCCAGTGCCGTTAACTTTACTCTATTTGGAGGGGTTTTAGTTCTTTTCCTAAACTCCCTTTTAGTGATTTTTTTCAACATCATTTAATTGCTTCTATTCTCCTCCATCACCAGGTTATAAATGTTCGTAGTTTATTAGTGATTTTAACCCCTCATCATTCGCCTTACAATAAAAGGTCTTAGCAAGTAAAACTGTACGGTTACATATCAGCCAACATTAGACTGCCCGATAGAAATTAATATCACATAAGAAATCAGTGTGGAAAATATACTATCAGTAAAAACAGTGAACCCTGAGGCAGAAACCAGAGCACACGCCAAATGCTAAGACCCATAAATAAAATGGGAAAAAAAAGGTTCAGAACAGACAGCACAGCACTTGGAGCATTCCCATAAGGCCCCCCCCCCCTCCCCCCTCTTCAGCAGAAAGCACAGCGTTCCAGACCTGATGTGACAGTCTGATTATATGTCCTTCTCGCCCCTCACCTGAGTCTTGAGCGTCAACCAAATTCTCTTGTTACTCTTCGCTGTTCCATTCTCATCAGACTGTGATGATCTGTTTGCACCTCTGCACTGTTTACTGACTTCAAAAGGGAGTGTGTATTGCAAATATATTGCAAACTATAATTTGAGGGCTTTTGTCCAAAAAGATTTGGGGGGGGGGGGGGGGGTGGGGGGAGCTGCCCTGCATACCCGGTACACATCCTGTTTAGATGTAAAGACTTTTCTTTGATATGCAACCTTTGTTTGGAAAAAGACCCGCTTGCTAGACCTTGTGTGAGTCAAAATGAGTCACGACACCGCCTGCTATCTTAGTTCAGGTCATTCTTCTGTGGGATGCAATTTTTCATTATTTGAAGCCCCGCCCTGACTTTTGCCGTGGGCCCTGAATATAGCCGGGCCACAATTGTGGCCATTAACGGCTGAAAGAGCTTTCTGGGACCTCTCCACGGATGATTCTCATCCGCATTGTGGCACTTTGTGTCACCGGGTGTTTATCACTTGTGTGATGTCCTTGTGGGGTACAACTAGCAAGCAAGCCTGCTATCTTTGTTTACCTCTCTGGAGAGAAAGCCAAGGATTGATGCCTGACTTTTCAGAGAAGTATTACCCCAAAGTCAGAACACGCTGTAACAGTACTATCTGCAATGATGAGACAGTGTCACATTTCCTTAACATCCTAAAAACAAGAGAGAAACAAAGTTTCCAGAACAGATTTTTAGTAAAAGTCAAACCCGCTGAGCCTAAAAACTAATGTCCAAATTGTGAAAAAGGGAAACAAATGCCAGAATGTCAGATTCCCAAAGTTTTATTGGTAGGCGATATTTCTTCCAAACAATGTGTCCTCCTCTGTCGACTACCCTCGGGAAGGTAAAGTGAGGTAAAAATTGTTTAATCTATTTGGTTTTTATACATGTATTTTAGTATTATGCAGTATATAAATCATTTTATTTAATACCTTCAGTGTATAGAATGCCAGCAACAATATTAATTGTCCTTGTTGTGGGGGGGGGGGGGGGTGGGGGGGGGGGGGGGGGGGGGGGGGGGGGGGGGGGGGGGGGGGGGGGGAATTAGTCATTCTCTTATTTGTTTGGTATGCATCTAAGAATCAGGGATGGATTCAGTATGTATACCAAGGTACCACTGTGACTGTATACGCGCCGACACATGATTTCCTTGGTTTATTCATGGACGTTTGCACAGAGTACTGAATTTGCCCAGAACAACCCAAAGGAGAAAAAATACCTTCAAAAAAGTTGACGACTTTGACTATAAACTCTGCATCCATGTTATAATTGATTTTGTCCTTCTCTCTTTCAGATCAACTTTTTCCAGGATCATACTAAAGTGATTGTCTGCCCACTTATGGCGGCAGTGACCTACATTGATGAGAAACGGGAGTTCCGCACCTACAGGCTGAACTTTATAGAGAAGTACGGTTGTTCTCGGGACCTGGCCAGTAGACTGCGCTATGCTCGCACGATGGTTGAGCGACTGCTGACCTCAAAGTCGTCCGTATCTGGCAGGCCAAAATCTGTAGCCTCATAACGCTTTGACTGTTTTATTTTGTTTTGTCTCCTTTGCCCATGATTAGTTTTTGTTTTGTGGTTATCTGTTAGTATCTAGTTTTATATGTTCTGTTTTTTTTCCTCCAAGAAAATCTGTCTCCACTGTTGCTTTCCTTTGTGTCAGCTGTCATTCAGTTTCTACTTTGTTGATGTATTATGTGCGTCTTTCTCTCCTCTCCTTTTGTCATCATTTTTTTCTTTCTTTACTTTTGCATCAAGAGTCTGTATTGGCTTATCTTCCGACACATTTGCATTTTTGTCTTGAATTATATCATAGATTTTATCCCTAATCTTCTGATCTCACCACATTTTTTTTTTTAAATTGTGAATTTGTTTTCTTATATTATTGTTTCCTTGTTACTTCTCATGTTGAAAACTTGTTAGTGACTCTTCTTATTTATAAATGCCCTGATCTTTTTTAGTCATGTTTTCATTTCTCTTTTTCCTCTTATTTTAGTGCTGTTCTCTTTCGTAATTACTCGTTTTCTAATGTCTATTTTTTTAAACGTAAATATTGTTGAGGTTTAAACCTTTTGTATTCTGTGAGACCTGTATTTCATCCTCTGAAAGTGTGTTATCTGTTCATTGCTCTTGCGATTTTGTATTTCCACATTTAAATTGTTTTTTTTTTTTTTTCAATTATCTTAACAATGTGTTTGCAAACTTTGAATTTGATTTCAGTCTTATAAATGTATATATACATGTGAATGGCGTGTGGTGTATATGACGGGTTAAGGAATTAGTATGGCAGGAAGATTTTTTTTTTAATGTTAAGTCTTTACGTATACTGAGTCTCAACAAGACGGGGTATAAGGTGAGTGGATGCTTGCTTTTGTTTTTAGAGAAATTCCCAGTGCCTTATTTTACAAAACAACCAAACTTGTTGAGGAAAAATGTTTATTCCTGACACTTCTTGGTGTATATGCATATGTTGGTTTTAGCACTGGGTGTTGAAGCCCGTATATCTGTTTGGTGTCACCACAGGTTGTTAACAGCCCACATCGCCGTGTCGGCCACACCGTTTGCAGCTAAAGACCATTTTGTGTTTTGGACACCACTTGGAGTTAAGCTCATTGCTTTGTTGGTGACTCCACATGGAGTTAAGCTCATTGCTATGTTGGTGACCCCACTTGGAGTTAAACTCATTGCTATGTTGGTGACCCCACTTGGAGTTAAGCTCATTGCTATGTAGGTGACACCACATGGAGTTAAGCTCATTGCTATGTAGGTGACACCACATGGAGTTAAGCTCATTGCTATGTTGGTGACACTACTTGGAGTTAAGCTCATTGCTATGTTGGTGACCCTACATGGAGTTAAGCTCATTGCTATGTTGGGGACACCACATGGAGTTAAACTCATTGCTATGTTGGTGACCCCACATGGAGTTAGGCTCATTGCTATGTAGGTGACACCACATGGAGTTAAGCTCATTGCTATGTTGGGGACACCACTTGGAGTTAAGCTCATTGCTATGTTGGGGACACCACTTGGAGTTAAGCTCATTGCTATGTAGGTGACACCACATGGAGTTAAGCTCATTGCTATGCTGGTATCATCTTCAGTTAAGCTCATTACTGTGTTGGATATGACTGGGAGCAGCCGCCAATATTGCTATGTCGGTGAGACCACTTCTGAGCTAACAGCCTTATCACGACTTAGTTCTGAAGTGCATTACGAGGTATTGACTGATGATATTATTGGCACTGCTAAAGTCACCTAACTAGTGCATCCTTGTTTCTAAAAAATTGTGTTTGAATATTGAGTGCAAATGAAAATTGTGCCGTTCCCTAAAAGTGCCACATTATTTTGGCCTTTTTGGAGCCTCAATTCAGTTCACATGTGTGGTTTCGGCTATTGTAGAGTGACAAATAGTGGTAAAAGTGAAAATGGTCAAAATTATACTTAGAAGACTGGCGTAATGCCAACAATAAATGTAAATACCAAATTGGTGCATTGGTTAGTATACTAACAACAATACACCAAGGCTGCATATTTGATGTGTTTTTATAAAGTTTCATTACCTGCTTTTGGGAAACTCACATGGAGGCAAAACTGCACTTACTGCAAGAACAGGGCATTGGAACGGAATAGTGAGATAGTTCTAAAAGTGGTGGTGGTTGCAAGTGATGAAACCCTTGTTCTATTGGCAGTTAGAATGGGACTTTTCACACCATGTGTATGAATGTGGGAAAATGTGTAGCAAGTGCTTCAGGAGTTTCCATCACATTGTGAAATTTATTAGGGAAAGAAAACAAGACTAACGCCAAACTGGATTGTAAATACTTTATTGCTAAAGGGAGGGTGTTTAGTTGATTCATCATGTATTATTTAAGAAGGGAGTTGAAAACCTTTCAAAATAAGGGTTTGTACAGGGTAGAGAATTAAAGGGTATGACAGAATCCCACTTGTAAATCTTAGGGAGAGAACTAAGAAGATCTCATTGAATTGAGTGGTGAGGAATTATGCTGGCACTGGATAGGACACACAGTATTAACAGTAGTACATGTACAAGAATATCCTTTGTTTAAAATATTTTAGCACAGTGTACAACAGAATACAGAGACAAAATTACAGTTAGAGCAGAATTAGAGATGGGTAACTGTAATGCTGTGTTACGATCAACATCATTGCCCATTGGGAAGTCCTATGCAGCCTCAGTATTCCGATGCAGAGCCACCACAAGGTATCTCTATCTCTGTTGGCTGTTTGCATGAGAAGTTGGTTATAATGTCTCCTATTTTGACTTTTAATACAGCACTGACATGCTTTACCCAGGAGGTCATTTTGGGAGAGAACTAAACAGGCTTCAGTGGATCAGGAGGTGAGGAAAAGACGCTGGCGTTGGATAGGGCACACACTGAGGAAAAAGGAGAACAGCATAACTAGAATGTCTTTGCATTGGAACCCACAGGGGCATAGGAATAAAGGAAGGCCAAAAAACACATAGAGAAGAGAGCTGGAGAATGAGGTTAGAAAGATTGGGAGGACATGGGGAGAGCTCCAGGTAATGGCGAAGGATAGAACGACTTGGCGTGAGTTGGTTGAGGGCCTATACTCCATTGGGGGATAGAAAGGCAGAAGAAAGAAGAAGAAGAAGACATGCTTTACCCAGGAGGTCATGTTGGATTAGCACCAGACATAATTTTCCACCAGCCTTTTGCGCACACAGATAATAGCAGCTCGTCCTTGCTTCATCCTGCCTGTGACAGTGTCCTACCAGCCATTTCGTCCACTCCTTAATTACCCCTGACACTTGCATACCTTGGTGTATAGATCTAGATGAAATGCTACTTATATTGTCTCCTAATTCATAACAGAGACTGTCTATTGTGATTATCTGAAGCATTTGTCTTTAGTCTGATATCACCACATGTGGGGCTGCCAGACAACTATGCGAGAGGACATATAGTGAGTACCTTCCCCTTTTTCCCCTCTTTCTCTAGAGGCATCATGTGCGAGCTTTGTTAGGTGCTACGTAGATGCTGGTATTTACAGCTTGGGATATTTCATCTATCCATCGCTTGCGTGTTTAACCTCTAGGTCTGCTTCTATGATGTCTAATTGATAGGACTCTGTGTAGTGCACTACCTATTAATCTTCACCCATGTCCAAACCATTTGCATAACAAGCTGGCAAAAGATATGACCGCTTGGTATGGGTGAACAGTCTGGGACCCAATAGGGAACAAGGTAGAAGCCTGGAGCTGACATGCTTGATGGTTGAAAGCCTGTGCTCCATTAGGAGCTAGGTAAAATGTTTATAATGTGCATTATGTGTTTTATATATAATGAATGAATAAATCACCTAGAGTTCAAATGTTGAAGTTTATGAGTTTGTTCCAACGTGAGAGTTAGAACAATAAATACTAATACTTTATACATGTTAGACTTACTGTGTGTTCATCTTCAGGGAATGTTATGCAACTTGTGAGTGATGGAGCTTATGAAACTTTCCCACTGTGCTTTCCAGACCCCAGTTTGGGAGAACAAGCAAATGGTAAAGGGGCACTAATTAGGGCTCTAAAGTTGGGATGCATCTTCCTGAGAGGCAAAATGAACAAGATATGTAAAATGGGTGTGTACAAAACTGAAAGTACTTGAACAGCACCAAAATCCAGAAGTGGGCGAACAACCTGAACTTTCTGCTAGAGTGTACAATTGATTAAGTTAAGAAGATATGAACAGTTTTTTTCACTTGATTGTTTTGTGCTGTTTTGTTTCCCTGAATGTAAGCCCTACCCCAAATATAAGCTCTAGTTAATGACATCAGCCATTACACCAGTGCTCTCCAGCCTAGTAGAATGGGTGTTCAGGCATGTTTTCATGTAATTATCAATTATACCTACATTTCGGTTTAATTTTAATTGTAAATACAATATTCTTTAAGATTTGTCAAAACAAAACAACCCGGACATTTGTGTTCTCATAAGCAGTTTGTGCATTTACCTTTAAAAAAAAACCTAATTAATATAAGTGCATTTAATTATTGATTGAGAACATATTCTGACCAAAGCGTAATTCCATACTTTGTGTTCCATGGTTGTGGTGTCTGTTCTCCTTTTAATCTTATTTTGTTACGTTGGAGGGTTTTGCCATTTACTCAGGGGGGGGGGGGGGGGGGGGGCAACCTGAAAAGGATAGAGATTACTCCAGTGGAAAGTGCTGGTTGTTTGTCCACTTCTGGACTCTGGTGTTGTTCCAGAACTTGAGTTTTGCGTGCACATCTGTTTTTACTGATGTCATTATCTTGTGTGCAGACTATTGGTTCATTGACTCCTAGGCAGATGCAATTCGACATAAAAGGAAACATCACTGTTAAAAAGTGGGATATTTGAAGACCTTTGAAATTAAGAAATGTTCTCAGGTTGTGGCTATCTGAGAACCACTGCTATAGAGGACTGGACTACATTATATGTTCTTCTGTCAGTTTATGATATTCTGTGCAGTTTTTACGAACAGCTTAAAGGGAATAGAAAAT